AATTGGGTATTTCTAAGTATTAATAAGAATATGTTAAATCGTAATCTTCGACATTATATTTGAGGGTTTATATTTACCTTTTTAACCATTTCAAAACCTGTGAGCGTAACTAACATATCTTTATCATTCATAGACATACTTTTGGTAATATTTTAGTCTTATTACAATTTACCTTAAAACCAGAAACTTTCCCATATTGTGCGATAATTTCAACCAAGTCAATTACCGAATCTGTTGGCTGAGTTAATGTTAACACCAAGTCATCTGCAAAAGCTCTTAACCTATAATCAATCTTATTGACCTTAATTCCTTTTATTATAGAAGACTCACGAATTTTAATTAACAAAATCTCCATTGTTAACACAAATAACAATGGAGATAATGAACTTCCTTGTCTGGTTCCTTTTTCGATTTTAAATGCTTCTGTTACCCCCCCATTAACTATAATCTGTGCAGACAGATGACAGCTTTTTATCAATGAATATGGATAATTCACCTGCATGAAAGTGAAGGAAATTCAGAAAGAGTGCATGCATGTGTGCATGTGTCCCACCTTTTCCTTTGATGAAACTATTGGTCTATCTCAGATGTGTTGGATTATGCCTCAAAAAGGAACTCTATAGGACCACTTTCGTTCTGTTGTGGCTTAGTTTTTACTATTGCCTTAAAGTAAACATGGTGATTGCAGATATTATTGTGGAAGACATATCCCTCCCCCACAATTTATTCTAGAATAGCCATATGGTGGCAATCCTGCTGCCCCTGCCCCCACAAGTACTATTAATCAACAAACCCCAGGAAAATCATTTGTGTAATCCTCCTGATGATCAAGTTCAAGCTGTTAGGATTAAGAACAAGTCCTCTTTTTTACAAGGGTGATCAAAAGCAGCTTGCAGAGCATCCTGTTCCCATGAGCACTCTCTGTAGATGTAGTAGAAGCAAGAAATATATACTTTCCAATCATACATGCAGGAAAAAACACTGAAGCAACAGAAGCAAACTGACATTTCAAAAATAGTATTGAGCCCTTCTTCTCCATATATCGGATTACTAAAATTAATCCATGGTCTTGAAATTTTAATATGTTTCTGACTTGAAAGGCAAAATGTTCTTAAACAATGTTTGGGTATGAACTTTCCCAAGGAGGCAAAAGAGTAGTCGGGTACCATTTAGCACTTACCATATTTAGACATGTTGTCCATGTTGGGTTTCATGTTCATACTAAAAGGCTGCAATAACATTTGCAACACTATCTTCTCTCCCTTACAGTCCCTTCCCATGCATACAAAAAGATATTTGTTCATTTCAGGGATGCTTCAGGACTGGGGTTGCAGGTGTGGTTGTTCATTGCACCCATAGAGTTGAGAGGAATTATCTATTCTCTGAGCAAAACTGATGGGCTGGCAATTTTCCAGCAATAGAAGATAGGCAAGTTCTTAGCATGCTAGAAACATGTACAAGCACTACTTTCTAAATCAGTGTTTCTCAGCCTGTGCAAACTTAGGATGTATCAACTTCAACTTCCAGAATTTGCCAACCAGCATGCTGGTTGGGGAATTCTGGGAGTTGAACTGCATATATCTTAATGTTGCCAAGGTTGAGAATCATTGTTTTAAATATTAACACCAACAATATTAAATCATTGAATGATCAGTTTTAATTTGCTCACATATCCAGGCACTTAAAACATCATTCCTTGCATCTTTTCTTAACCATCAGTAAAATGGAAAGAAGCAGCTTTACTTCTAATTATTAGGGCATGCTTTGTCCCATTCACTTTCTTTCTTCTCTCTATCTGTATACATTAGGGATGTTCAACAAAACATTTTTGTTTTCTTATTTTTTTCACTACTTAGGGGTCACAGACTTAGAACAAAGGTGCTATTTCAACAGGGAATGAATTAGAATTCTGAAACCTGATATAAATGTATTGAAGTTTTGGGGCAGGAACTATTGATAGTTAACAATTTGCTGCCAGGACACTGGGTTCAATTTCCAACCATCATTAACATGTGTCTCTATCTTTGCAGCTATACATGTGCAAATTACTGAGGCAGGTACAAGGGAAGAGTACAATAGGAAGTTGTGCTCTTATATGTTGTTTTTGTGTTCTTACAGATATTTTCAATCTTTTATTGCAGCAGCAGTGGTCCCATTGTGTTTTAAGACTGCCATTATTTTGCCAATGCCAAAAAAGTCTTCAGTCATGGGTCTTAATGATTATTGTTCCGATTGCACTTACATCCATCATTATGAAATGTTTTGAAAGGCTGATAAAGGACTTTATTGTATCCAGCCTCCCTCCAGCGTTACTCACTTCAGTTTGTTTGTTGTCCAAATTGTTCCAGAGAGAAAAGAAATACTCATGTTTGAATGCTCTTTGTTGACTTTAGTTTGGCATTTAATATGATAATTCCTCAGCATTTAGTAGATAAACTGGGCCTTTTAGGCTTCAATATTCCTTTGTGCAACTGGATTCTTGATTTTCTTACTGATAGTATGTGTGAGTTAGAACTAATATTTCTAACACCATGTTCTTGAGAACAGATTCTCCTCAGGGCTACATCCTAAGTTCACTGTTATTCACCCTGCTGACCCATGACTGTTGTACAAGGTTTGCTACCAACCATATTGTGAAGTATGCTGACAATAGCCGAAGGATAAAATACCCATACACAAATTGTACTGGAATATGCAGTACAATGCAGTACATGTGCAGATCTGTACATTGGGGAAACTCAACAACAACTTCATAAACATATGGCACAACAAAGGAGAGCAAACCTATAAGGACAAGATTCAGCAGTCCACTCTTTCGAAGACAGCAGAATCTACATTTTGGACAGAGAGGACCACTGGTTTGAAAGAGGGGTCAAAGAGGCCATCTTTGTTAAAACTGAACAGCCCTCTCTCAATAGAGGGGGAGGGATATGACATCATCTATCTCCAGTCTACAACACAGTCCTTTCAACAGTTCTAAGAAGGCTCCACATTCATTTGTACTACTCAGATGACCCTGACAATACAGATAAACCTCCAGGTGGCCTCAATGACTCTCTAAAATAATGCAAATGACCAGCTCTCTGCAAGGAATATAAATCCTTCCATTCCCATTCAGTCAGAGCTGAAGAAGCTTCTTGGATGAGAAGCAAAACATCTTTAAAGAAAAACAAGAAAGTCTGGTTGCCTCGTGAAAAAACACTTTGGGACTTTATACCTTATGTCTGAGGTCCCCAACCTTTTGGACACCAGGGACCAGTTCTATGGAGAGAGGAGGGGTGTTGAGTTTTTGGTTCGCAAGCAATTGACGAAGACGCATGGTGGAAAACAATAGCTCTTTATTCTCCTTCTCCAACTCCAAGCAAAGAGCAAAAGGCTCGCAGGCCTTTTATAGGGTGAAGAACCCAGATAGTGCTAACCAATAGGAACGCAGCATTTTCGCGCCTTGCGCATGTGCACAAGGCTGGTGCCACTCTGTTTGGCCCTGGGCAGCTTTTACAATGCCTGGGACCATTTGCAACCTTTCTGGGCCTGCTGAGTTTCCTCAACAGGCCCAGGACACAACAAGGGGTGCATGGTTTTGTGTGCTGCCTGCATCTCACGGATGGGGCTTTGCTTGTTTGTGCAGACCGGTTGCTGGCATGCTGCAGCCTGGTACGTGTCCATGGATCGGGAGTTGGGGACTCTTATCTTATGTTACCTTACCTTACCTTACCTTATCACCATCTATCTTATCTTAAATCTTGCCTCGCCTCGCCTCATCTCATCTCTCATCTCATCTCATCATCTCATCTCATCTGCAGGATAGTTTCCAAATGATCAGAGGATGGTAGGGGAAGGAAAAGTTCACTGTCATAGTTATTAAACTACACTCTGCTCCATATGCTGTTTAATGTCTGAAAGACGCCTGGTGCAATTAGTTTGAGGCTTGGGATTGGAATTGTTGTTGGAAATCTGACTTTGGTTGCACTGACTCTTCAGCACCTCACACTGTATTGACCACAAGAGGCAGTGCAGTAGAGATGAAGAGTTAGAATTTCCCCCTTCTTACTTTTTTACCTTTCAGTCTGCCTGCTCCTTGCCTGTGTGACCGTTAACCTCTAGTGTTTCCTTCCTGCTTTTGTCTTCCTAGCATACTTGCTCCATTGCTCATGTAAGGTTCCTCCTCTGCAGGGATGCACTCAAATGTTTTTCTTCCAGTTATTAGTATGCTGGTGGTATGCAGCTCTGAGTTTTCCAACTGAACCAGTCAATCTGTACAGATTTTTGCATATAACAATGGATCAGACAAGGTACAAACTCATTGGGGCTGAATCCCTCAATAAAAAGAGGTTCTTTGGGTTAGTTTCTAGGCCCAGGACCTGGATAAACAATTATGTAGCTTGAATATGCCTTTGGCAAAAATTTTCTACTGTGATAGCCTCCTCAATAGTTTATGATAAGGCAACTTTTCATCTATTATGTGAGGTGACATGATATGTATCACAGAATTCTGCACTTGGATATTCTAAGGACTATCATATACGGTATATAACATTAGTTTTCAAAGAACTCTTGTCAATAAACATTTGTCTGACTTTAAGGTGCTGCTGTATAAATTCTAATTCATCCTTCGCTTCACTACTGAGAGCTGTAGATTTTGGAAAGAAATGGGAGAGGCTCTTATTTTGGCTGACAGGTTACAAAATGCTCTCCTGGACATTCAGCTTTATTTTAGTGATAGATTCAGAACCTGCCATCTATACAATGTTTGGAATTTTCTGAATGAAGCTTGTTTTATTTTGTTTATTAATGTTCTAGTGATGATAATTATAGAGATTATTATATTAGATTACTCATTTTTCTAGTTACGCCAATCAGATGCATTGGTGTAGTCAAGAGCTATAAGATGGGCATTTTAATAGGGTAGAGTGATTTCCTTTCCAGAAAAGACTTGTCTTGTAATCCATTCATGATTTCTTCCTTGTTCTTTCACAAAGAAATGAAAGAGACAGTGAATATACAGAGACTGTGATACATTTTAATTGTCATTCATGCACCAAAACAGTCCTTTAAAAACTTTGTGGCATGATTACATACAACATCTGTTCAACTTCTGAAGAAATCTAGCACAGCTCTTGCTAGATAATATATTCTCTGCCTGAGTTACAGAAAGCCTGATAGAATTTACCAGCTCTTCAAATGAATATGTGAAGAAAGGCATTGGGTCAACAGTGATTTAAATAGTCCGGCTATTCCCATTACCCCAATTGGATCACTCTGCTTCCTTTTTCCCCCCCTTCTTTTCCCTTTGTTAAAAATCCAGATATTATTTATAATAAATAAATGGTTTTGCTTTGGCTCTTGCATAATCAAAAAGTTTGTTGAATTTATTAGAAGAGTCAAGTAGTTTTGTTGGCACATTTGCCCTGTTTCTACAAGGCTGTCCCTCATGAGAGTGTCCCCAACTGTGTAAGTGAACACAAATGCATAGCTATCCACATTCCAATTATTCATTGCAAATAGGATACACACATATTCTCCCCAACCATATATTTGCATATTAGCATATATAGAACATGTATGCAATTCAACATATTCACATTCTCTCCAGGGACACTCAAACCTATCTTACATATACATACACACTCACAAAACCAATATTAGTTTCTATTCTAAATGCAGATATATCTGGTCTCTCTCATTCAGCCACACATTTATACATACAAAATTTTCTTCAACTCTTTTTCACTCTCATATGGGGGGAGGCGTAATAGAAAACAGGTTAAAGACATTTCAATTCATTTCAATTCCATTTCTGAACCAGACTTGAAGCCTTTCCTTCTTGTTATGAAGTATTTGACACCCAAGACTATTGTGGTAATAAGAAGTATAAGCCCAATTGCAAGCAAGATCCACTGTCCTGTTTCTATTTGACTGCTGCTCAGTGACATCCCAAGGAAATTGACTTCTGTTTCATCTAAGTAAAAAACAAGAAAAAACATAGAAGAATGGATTTAAGTAAACTCATCGTAGAAGGCATAGCATCAAACCAAGCTGCATTTTTTAAAAAAGCTAAGCAGGGTAGAAATTAGCAGAAGCATGGTATATGGGGAAAAAAGGAAAATGAGGGCATTAACTTTGTTCCCACTGTAGTCTTGCTATTTCTTTATCCACAATTAGCAGAAAGCTTAAAGGGTCTGTGTGCAAAATTCCTCCTCTAGTTCTCATTTCTTGAAAATATCAATGTTGAAACTTTTAAATACCTGCATAAGCCTGCCAGGTGTATTCAGGCCAGCCCAGAGTTTCATTATTTTGCCTGTTCTTTTCAATGAGCCATTTTGTCAGTGGTTCAAAATAGGTCAGCAAAGCTTCAGCAGACATGTTGGATTGCCCTGTAATATTTTGCATGACATCAGGCCACGGCCTGCTGAAGCCCAGCTTCAAGGCATCCCTGCAAAAAGAAATTGTTTATAGAAGATGTACATGTGCACTCCTCTCCCTTCCAGGAAACATAACATTGCTTTGCTAAATGAAGCTAAAGGTCCATCTATATAGAATTTTGTATTTTATAGAAGCTAGCCAGATCCCCATTGGAAATCTAAAAAGCCTTTGCGTATCATCCTTTATTTTATAAATCTACATAATAGATTTTCACCTAGTAGTAGAATTTTAGGTATTTTTCTCTTAGTTTATGAAGATTCCAGTTTTTTTAATGGGAGCTTCTTTGCCTTGCATAGATTTTTTTCTAATCCAACTGCTGCTTTGCTATATCTCAGAATTTTTGTTACAAAAATGTTGTTGTTTTGTTGCAGGATATTTGACATCCCACCTGGGCACACATTTTGTTATTGGACAAGTCTCTTCATTGCTGACTACTGAAATGGGCACAAATGCAGAATATATGATTTGTTGGTATTATCTGAGCTGGGAGTTATTTCAGTTCGGAATCAGCTGAAATTTTCAGAAAGAAGCTGAATTAAATGGTCTTTCAGTCCCTTGCATGAACTAGTTCATATTTCAAACTTTCTGCAACAATAGACATTTGTTTAGTTGTGTGATGGCAATAATTCAATGTGTCTCTTGTGAGTTTGAAATAGCACACTGTACCACACAATAAAACATTTTTATCTGACATATAAAGTTTTTAAGCTTTAAAACATCAGAATGAAATCCAAGGAAATTGGAAGACCACATTGCCCACCAGTAAATGGCCAAGACCTTTGTCAATAACTTTCAAATTTAAAATGCCAGTTTTGTCTCAATTTGATTAGTATCAGTTTCCCAATCTTGGAGCTACCTGTAATAAACCAAGACTTGCTAATTTATTTTAGAACGAGGCAGAAAATTTCCTAGGTAACTGTCAATAGCAGTACAAGACAATTAAATGCCAAATAATTTTCTTGTCCTTTTCCTATATTCAGAAAACTATTCAGTCACCTGCCTTCTGAGCCAACTTTACCAGTCTCTTTGTAAGGGTGATGCTGAAGGTTTAGCAAAAAATGGTTTTAAAAATTGCATTCAAAAGTTAATTTGTACACATTTTCAAACCAGTACAGAATCCAAAATTGTTTCAAATTCTGCAATGCAGTTGCCAAGAACAATTTATCATGTACTAGGGGAATGCTAGTACAAAAATTAATATATTCATGAAAAATGCATTGTATTAGAGAAATATGGAAACTGTATGCTTAAAAATACATACGTTTAGAGCAGGGGTAGGCAACCTTGGCTCTTTTATGACTCGTGGACTTCAACTCCCAGAATTCCTGAGTCAGCATGGCTAGCTCAGGAATTCTGGGAGTTGAAGTCCACAAGTCAAAAAAAGAGCCAAGGTTGCCTATCCCTGGTTTAGAGAAATAAACATAAATTTTAGTGCATAATTTTCATACATATTTGCAAAAAAAAGAGAAAACCTAAAATTTACAGACCCCAGGGCAGCATACTCACCCTAAGATTTTCCCAGCTTCTTTAGACTGGTAAATGTCACATTTATATAAAGGTCCAGTATGGCCAGCAGCTTTGCACAGAGCTTGGTGAAACTGAAATTGGATTATAAAACTGACAAAGTATCTGGAAGGGAAATGAGAGAGATAAAAGGGGAGATCAAGGTCACTCTAGGAAAAAGTGATGTGACATTTCATATGTCACAGAGGTACACAAGCCAGCAAAAAATATCTCCTTACCTGACATATGGGACACTAGCAGGAATGTGGAATTTTGCTCCTGGATCAAAATCTTCTTCTGATCTTGGTGTAGGAGGACATAAACCCTGGTATTTCAATCTATACAATTAAGGTAAATTGAGAGAAGATAATGTTCATTAAGCAATTTGAAAAATTGAATGATCTTAGGAACCATATTCACAGAATTGAAAAATAATTATTTTTCCTTTCTATGAAAAAACTATTTTCCCAAGTATTATCTTAGGAAGCCCCCTAATGGTAAGGCAAAAATTATTGTATTTTGACCTTTAACTCTGTCTGAAATAATTCGGTTATGGTTATATTTACTCTCAAACAAGTCATTTATTAGCCATGTATTGACTTCACTTTCTGTAGTTTTGGGCCAGACTTGGTCCCCTTCTTTGTAAGTTCTCAAGATTTAATTCTGATAGAACAATACCAAAATGTCAATCTTTTTACTAGACAGTTGCAAATTAATCACCTGAGATTCCACCATTGTTGATTGTACTCCTTTTTTGGAATACGCCCATCAAATACTTTCCATCTCCATTGGTCGATCAGGTAGCCAAAGGGCAGGAAAGCAATCTTATCCAGTGCCATGCTCATAAGGTAGTTGATATCACTCTCTGACCAAGAAGAAAATGTGTTAACAGATCTACGTGCCAAGGTACCTGCCAAGTCTTATGCTTGATCTCTTCTACTGTCTCTACTGTGATTCATGATTCGTGTTTTTCCCTTTCAGCCCCTCATCTTAATTTGCAAATTCTACAATATTGCAATCTTTGGAATAATTGCATCTCTGTGTGTCTGTCTCTGTGTCTGTCTCTGTATCTCTCTGTCTCTGTCTCTGTGTCTTTCTGTCTCTCTCTGTCTCTCTCTGTCTGTCTGTCTCTCTCTCTCTCTCTCTCTCTCTCTCTCTCTCTCTCTCTCTCTCTCTCTCTTTCACACACACACACACAATCCCCAAAAGCTAATCTGTCTGCAATTAAATGTTTAATTCAAAATATCTCACCCTAATATTGAAAACCAGCATGGGATGAAAAACAACACAATTAGTTAATATTTTGTATTTGAAACATCCAAGATGAATTTGATTCAGAAAAATGAATGTCTCTACCCAAATTACAAATTAGTCTTAATGAATCTTATGCATCAGTGCTGAACATATCTTAAAAACTGAAGCTGATAAATCTACCTTGTAATAAAGTATCCCTATTTACTTACCAGTGTTGTCTTCCAAATGTTCAAGCAGCTTGATGTTTTTCAAATGCTTTGGGGTTGACACTGATAAGGCCATAACATCGCCAATGGCTTCATGGAATCCTGGATTTGCCCCATCACGAAATGAAATGGGCTGATCTTTATACTGCAAAAAGTATTGGACGTGTCCCATTTCATGGTGAACTGTTATTAAATCATCCATATTCACAACAGTGCATTGTTTTATCCTGAAGCAAGAAAATAATTTGAGGTGAAGAATCAGAATAATCAGGTAATTACTCAACAGTTTATAGAATAACCTGCACAATCCAGTTCCTAGAGAACTATAGGTAGAATATAAACTTATCTCACCTGGTCTAATTAAAGTGGTGTTTATAATCATTGTAATTGATTACAGTCAGTTACAGGTTTCTTTGTTCTTTATAAACTTATCTCAGAAAGTTGCTCATAGAACAGTGTCTCCTAATGATTTTTACATGTGAACTGAGTGACAAAGTAAACAAAAAAATGCACACTCACTCTCTCCTGGGTCCAAATATAGCCATCTACCTGGGCCAAATTATCACGTAATATTTGGGATAAGTATGCACTTCCCAATAATAATAATAATAATAATAATAATAATAATAATAATAATAATAATAATAATAATAATAATAATAATAATAATAATAATAATAATAATAATAATAATAATAATAAAAAACATCATCTGAAATAGAATCGCTGCTCAACACTGTCCGTATATATAGCCAAGATATTGCAATGGAGTTGGTTTGGACAAATGTGCCACACTTACTATCAAACAAGGAAGATTACTACAAATACTTATGTATCCTTCAAGCTGACAATATCAAGCACACTGAAGTCAAGAAAAAGATTAGAGGTGAATACATCAAGAGAGTGAAGAAGATCTTAAAGTCCAAACTCAATGGAGGAAATACCATAAAGGCAATCAACACCTGGGCACTTCCAGTCATTAGATACACAGCTGGAATAGTGGACTGGACTCAAGCAGAACTAAAAGCAATGGATAGGAAGACCAGAAAAATAATGACAATGAATCATGCCCTTCATCCACGTAGTGACATTGACAGATTTTATCTACCAAGACAAATAGGTGGGCGTGGAATGCTGCAAGTACATCAGATGGTTGAAGAAGAAGAAATAGCTTTGGAAAAATATCTGAAGGATAGTGATGAAGATGCGCTAAAATTAGTATATCAGGAAGGCTTACTGACTACTGGAGAGACCAAACTGGCCTACAAGAAAGACCAAATGAAGAACAGAATAGAGGCATGGGAAGACAAAGCACTGCATGGCCAGTACATTAAAAAAAATAGCTGGGAAAGCAGATAATAACAAGACCTGGCAATGGCTAAGAGCAGGAAAATTGAAGAAAGAGACCGAGGGACTAATTCTGGCTGCACAAGACCAAGCCTTAAGGACAAATGCATACAAAGTCAAAATTGAGAAGACAGGAACAGACAGTAAGTGCCGCCTATGCAACGAAGCTGAAGAAACAGTGGACCACATGGTAAGCTGCTGCAAGAAGATCACCCAGACTGACTACAAGTAGCGGCATGACAAAGTAGCAATAATGGTGCATTGGAAGATCTGCAAGAAATATCATTTGCCTGTAAGCAAGAACTGGTGGGATCATAAAATAGAGAAAGTCATAGAAAATGATAAAATTAAACTGCTCTGGGACTTCAGAATTCAAACAGACAAGCACCTGCAACATAACACCCCGGACTTAACAATTGTCGATAAGAAAGACAAAAAAGTCTGGATATTGGACGTGGCAGTGCCTGGAGACAGCAGAATAGACGAGAAAGAACTGGAGAAGATAACAAAATACAAAGACCTACAATAGAAATAGAAAGACTGTGGCAAAAGCAAGCAAGGGTAGTACCAATAGTAATAGGTGCCTTGGGTGCAATCCCAAAACAACTGGAGCACCACTTGAACACCATTGGCATTGACAAATTTGCCATTAGTCAATTGCAAAAGGTGGCCTTACTAGGAACTACTTCCATCCTGCGACGATATCTGTAATAACATCAAACATCCACATCTGCCTATCCCAGGTCCTTGGTAAGGACTCGATAGGTAGACAAAATGCCAAATCCAGTCTGAACATCTGGCTGACTGTGCGATGGTCAATAATAATAATAATAATAATAATAATAATAATAATAATAATAATAATAATAATAATAATAATAATAATAATAATAATAATAATAAGAAGAAGAAGAAGAAGAAGAAGAAGAAGAAGAAGAAGAAGTAGTAGTAGTAGTAGTAGTAGTAGTAGTAGTAGTAGTAGTAGTAGTAGTAGTTGGGAGGGACCTTGGAGGTCATCTAATCCAACCCCCTACTCAGGCAGAAAAAGACTTCCAGTGTTGGAGCATTACCAGCTTCTGGAGGCAGGTTGTTCCACTGATTAATTGTTCTAACTGTCAGGAAGTTTCTCCTTAGTTCTAGGTTGCTTCTCTCTTTGGTTAGTTTCCATCTGTTGCTTCTTGTCTTGCCTTCAGGTGCTTTGGACAATAGCTTGACTCCCTCTTCTTTGTGGCAGCCCCTGAGATATTGGAACACTGCTATCATGTCCCCCCTCGTCCTTCTCTTCGTTAAACTAGACATACCCAATTCCAGCAGCCGTTCCTTATATGTTTTAGCCTCCAGTCCCCTGATCACCTTTGTTGCTCTTCTCTGTACTCTTTTTAGAGTCTCAACATCTTTTCTACATCATGGCGACCAAAACAGGATGCAGTATTCCAAGTGTGGCCTTACCAAGGCATTGTAAAGTGGTATTAACACTTCATGTGATCTTTATTCTATCCCTCTGTTAATGCAACCTAGCACTGTGTTGGCTTTTTTTGGCAGCTGCAGCACATTGCTAGCTCATATTTAAGTGATTGTCCACTAAGACTCCAAGATCCCTCTCACAGTTGCTACTATTGAGCAAGGTACCACATATACTATACCTGTGCATTTGGTTTTTCTTGCCTAAATATAGAACCTTACTTTTTTCACCATTGAATTTCATTTTGTTAGATAGCGCCCAATGTTCAAGTCTGTCAAGATCTTTCCGTATCTTAAACCTATCTTCTGGAGCCCTGGAGCACCCCACTACACACTTCCCTCCACATAGATGCAGTTCCATTGAGAACTACACGCTGAGTACGGCCGGTCAACCAGCTACGAATCCATCTGGTGGTGATGCTGCCTAACCCACATTTTTCTATCTTATCAAGTAGTAAGCTGTGGTCTAATCTATCAAATGTCTTACTGAAGTCCAAGTAAATTATATCCACAGCATTCCTCTGGTCCACTAATTTTGTCACCTGGTCAAAGAATGCAATAAGATTTGTCTGGGATGATCTGTTTTTGACAAACCCATGTTGGCTTTTAGTAATGACTTTGCCTCTAGATGTTCGCTCATTCGTTGCTTGATTCCAAGATCTTCCCAGGTATTGAGGTCAGGCTAATAGGTCTGTCATTTCCTGGATCCATTTTTTCCCCTTTTTTGAAGATGGGAACTACATCCGCTCTTTTCCAGTCCTCTGGTAGTTCTCCAGTGCTCCAGGATCTTTGAAAGATATAGTTCAGTGGTTCTGAGATCACATCTGCCAGTTCCTTGAGAACCTTGGGGTGTAGTCCATCTGGTCCTGGTGATCTGAACTCATCTAGGATGGACAGATGCTCACTTATCATTTTCTTGCCTATCTTAACTTGTGTTTCTAATCTGTTTTTTATGGTACTATTTTTGATAGGTTGGACTGTTTTTCCCCTTTGTGTAAATACAGATGCAAAAAAGGAATTGAGTAGTTCTGCTTTCTCCCTGTTGCTTGTTACCTTCTTGCCACTTCCTCCCACTAATGGACCAATCATTTCCTTCACTTTTTTCTTGTTTTTTACATGTTGAAAGAAGCTTTTTTTATTTTTGACTTTAGTCACAAGCCTTAGTTCATTTTGAGCCTTAGCTTTTCTCACTTCATCTTTGCAGGTTCAGGCTATTTGCTGATATTCTACCTTAGTTATGTGCCCCTCTTTCCACTTTTTATACTTGTCCTTTTTGACTTTCAATTTATCAGAGAGTTCAACAGTAATTTCAGGATATCCTTTGAAAGACAAGACTTTAATCTCAAAAGGCCATCAAATTTCTTACTAAAGTCAATCCAGAAAAATTTCTTATTTTAGGAAATGTTTCAGAAAATTTATTAAAGGCTTCCGGTTTGCGATGGTGGCGCTGATAGATGTTCAGAGAGATCGCTCTCCACGTCATCCGGTTTTCTCCCACCAGGGGACCCTGCAAAGGGTCGAAAGTCACCCTGGAGGGGCGACGAGCGTGAAGAGGACCTCCGACTGATCACGGAAGGGCAGCAGCCCTTCCGTTTGATCTGGAGCAGTTCTTCTAACTGACGGGGAAAAGATCGGCCATTCATGTGGCCCATCACTTACGCCATTTCCAGCCGAAGCCAAATTTACAACTACACTTGAAAGCACTGCGGAAGAACTGGGTGAGACCTTACCTTCTTTATATCCCAAGTGTTTTTTCCTGTAAAAAGCTTTTTGAAACTGCTTCCCCCTGCGAGGAGAAAGGGAACGTTTTTTCCCCACCCTCTAAAATGGCGGTGTCTGACTACACAGGGAAACAAAGCCCTGAAATTATAATTAAATAATTGGATCTGCATTTTTTTTCATTTTTGGTGACCCAAAAAGTTCCTATCTTTACAGGGACTTACTATTTTACCTACTTGGGGGAAAAAAGAGACAAAAAAGAACTTAAATTGGATAAAAAACTAGCCTTTTTGAAAAGGATTTTAAATGCTATCGGGGACATCTTGTGGTGAAACTTGGTACAGCAAGTGAATATCTTTGACAAAGAGACCTGTTTACAGCCTAGAGCTGTCCTTGGCATTATCTAAAGATAAAAAGCTGAAACAGTTGGGAGGTGAAATTGGCTTCTAAGAACTGTGGAGCTGAGTATTTACTGACTCTTGTTTAAAAAACTAGCCTCCTCTAGAGAACTATCTACAATTACCCCAAAAATGGAGGGGGACCAGCAACAAACCTCGATTGATTATAAACTTATGCTTGAAAAAAATATTGAAGCTACTGAGATAATTAAATCCAGACTGAAAGATGGAGGTGCTAGCCTGAATCTACAAACTGAAACCCAGATTTCAACTAAAGAACTCACAACTCAGAAAATAACAGAAGCGGAAGAAATCAACACCAAGACAGAGGACCTTAAAGAACAACAACAATATATTGACAACTCTGGTAACCAAATCCTGATTGCAATTAAAGAACCTATAACAAAAATAACAGAAGTGGAAGAAGCTAACACCAAAACAGACGGTGCTAAAGATCAACAAAGACAGCATATTGAAAACCTAGATAACCAAACAATGACCGTAAAACTGGACATGACCCTTTATTTAAATCAGAAGAAGTCTGAGGAAGAAGAAGACCAGACCGAATTGAAGATAAGGACACTAGAGCAAATATGGCGATCTGAACCACCAGGGCAGCAATTTAATGATTATAAATGGATCAGTTCTTGTGGAAAATTGATGATCAAATGGTCTCCTTTGATTCAAGTAACATGTGCCAGAATGAAGGGAGATCCATCTGATAACCTAAAGCCATTGGTATGGAAACCTGATGGCATAAAAAGAAAGCCAGAGTTAGGTTTAAAAATGGGGCCTTTTGATTTACTAGAGAGATTCTAAGGTTTCAACTAATGGGCTAAAGGGAGACTTTGAGATGAAGGAAAATATGATTATTAGATTTAAATATTGTTGGAAAATGATAAAAAATAAGGGATCAATTGACTTAATAATTAGGATTTAGATTTATAAGGGAAATGGAAATTAAATAGACATAAAGGCTATTCTATTAGTAAGTGTGATGTACTAGGATGAGAAATAGAAAATGTTTATGAAATAAAATAAGAATATATTTAAGTAAGTAATATATGTATTTTAGATATTATAACTTTTGTGTAGCGAAATAAAGGAAATTTGGTTTCCAGAAATTTAAATACTATAGATCTTAAAGGTTAAATTGGAATGTTGTAATTAAAAATTAAGAATTAGGTAAAACTTAAAAACAGGATACGGATATGTATAAGCAAAAAATGAATTGATACATGCTTTAACTGAATTTGTTATGGTTAAAAATTTACTAGTTTTAGTATGATATACCAAATGTTAAGGGAAATAGAGAAGGAATTTTTGATAATGTAACCTGAGATATGTACAAAAAATTTTGTTATTGAATCCTTGATTACCCAGTCACCACATTGCTTTCCAAATACTGGGATGTTAAACTGGAAAACTAATAAAATTTGTTATTAAAAAGAAAGAAAATTTATTAAAAAGTACTTTCTTTACAAATCACCGAGTTGAGTTCAACCTGTGATAGTGGAAGATGAGATTAGCGTGTGGACATAAAGTCAGAAATAGGGCCAAGAATGATTGCTATGTAAAAATAACATGAAAGCCGTTCTAGAGAAGACCTGCAGGGTGAAAATCAGTATTTCACTCTGGGCATACTTTGAAATACACAAACAGTAGGATTAATCCCAAGTGTGACTCATGTCTCCTTGGAGTACAGGTTTATACTATAATTCCTAGTAAAAATGCAGTAAGGTAAACTGGTAAGTAACAAACTACAAAAATATTTTAGCTGCAGTGAGCCATTGTAATGAAGGTCTCCCTGATTTTCACAAGCTTTGTCCATTTAATTTAGTATGTTATCACCTAAAGTCCTTGCGATTGTAGAAGTCCCAGGCTGAAGCATGACAGACCACTTCTCTCCCATCTGATGGCTTTTCCAGCATAGACTTTTCCCAGAACTCTGGCGGCATAGGGATAAGCCCCAGTGACTGGAAGAAACTGTCAGATTGTTCAAACATCTTCTTTGGGGTCCAGCCCTGTGGAAAAGAGAGCAAATGTGCCAAAAGTTAAGAAGCTGGCAAAGGAGAGTCTAAGAAAAGACATGAGCATTTTAATACAGTTAGGAGCAAATCATCCTTCCTGCAGTGCAGAACCGAAAGCAGGAAAGAGAAAGAATCTCCAAAAGCCATATTTCTCTTTTTACAATAGTCTCCTTCTTAAGGTTTGTCACTCCAGTTCAGTCTCCATTCATAGGAACTGAAACTGAATTCTCACTCTAGCTGGCTTCAAAAGATAGATAGGGGTAGCAGTAATGGCCTCACCACTTTTGATTTCAGCCATATGCCTGATATATATTCTGCTCCAGATTTCCACGGAAGAAATGTGGCCCCAAGTATGGGGGGGAGAAATCCCCAGCCCTACTATATTTTGATAATCTACAACTAAGTTAGATAGACTGCAGTCTTGATTGCATTATCTAATATCATACAACATCTAATATAAAAACATAACAAGACACATTCTTGGATGCAATTTTGACTGTGGGAATTCCTTCCAATGGAGATTTGTCATATTCTGAATTTTACAGTCAACTTCTGAAAGTTCTTATTTTCCTTGTTTTTAAGTGTTGCAGTTGGGGAAATTTAATTAATATATTTTTTTTCTTTTGTACTAGTGCAGATATATTACTGCTCAAAGCAGATTCACAGAACAGGAAAAGTTGTTCAAAAGATATTTTAGGATACTACAGGAACTAGCTTTGGAAGCAACAGTGGTTAATAGTGCTGAGGTTCAACTGAAACTTCCCTTCCAACTTCCTGTATCCAATAGGGCTGAAAGACTGAGTTGCTGGGTTCATATGTAGCATTAATATTTGTCTGAATTTGGCTTAGCACAATTCCTAAAATCAGCTAATGTGGATCATTCACTAAAACATGGCAAAATTCTACATGATGTAGAAATCAGGAATATATCAAAAACATATATTCGGTACATGCTCTTAAGTATTTGCTTAAATATATAAAACTGAAGATTATTAGAATGTGACAGCTCTGAGCCACACCATAAACAACTAACACCCCCCCCCCCCAAACAACTGTGAGAGTTTTATTCTGGAGAGTTTTTAAAGAGGAAAAGAATTATGTTCAGTTCCTATGAGAAAACATTGCAAATAACAATTGAATAAAATCTAGTGTTTCAACCTGTTGTATCATTGCTGGAGTAGCATCCACTTTGGTAGCATCAGGGAAGGGCATGACAAGGTCAAAAATATTTGCCCATGATTGTGCCCACATGTTACCTAAACATAAAAAGTGAAGTTGATTAATATGTAACTGAAAAAATATAGGGGGCGGGGGAGTAAATCAAATTACAAGATAAGGCAGTGAGGGAAGATTGCTATGTTTGAAGAGGAATGAAAATTGATAAACTTTTGGGCTTGTGATATACAGATAGGTATGGGCATTGCTGTTGTAGCCACCACATAAAAATAGTTTTATATCCAATTAAATTTACCCCTTGAATGTTCATATAGACATGACAACATTTTTTAAATAACTATTTGATTTCTTAAATAATAGAGGCAATTTATATTTTACTTACACTCAAACTATTATATCTGAAAAAAAAAGATGGGAATTATGGAGAAAAAAACAGTTGAAAACTGCCACCTACCACATTTCAAAGATGAATATACTATCTATATTGTGAACTGGCTATCATAATATTGCTACTTAAATTGGGCTGCAAAAAGAAGGGATAAAATGGAGCTGGATCATGTTTTCTCCAGCATGGTTGACATGTTTTGGCTATGTTCCCATTATTACCTGCTTTCTCAAAGCTCTATCTCCTCCTAAAAATGTTGATGTAGAGTGCCTTAACCTGGAATTGTATTTGTCCAGGTTGTGGATGCATTTATATTTATGTATAACACTCATGATCCTGAGTCAAATCTTATGTGGAGCATTTTATTAATAGATCATTGCCTATCTTTGTTATAAGATCTTAAAAAAACTGAAAAGCAAATGCTCATTATTAAGTTCTGTTACTACTTCCAACAACTGGAAATATGTCTCCAAAGGACCAGGTCTAACATTACACAAATGTAAAAAGTTCCTGGGGATTTGCTCAGCATGCCCAATGGCTTAGAGCAGCCCAGGGTGAAAAGACTTACCTAGCAAATGAGCTGGAATTGGGCCTTTGAGATTGATGCGCTTTTCGCCATATTTTTTGTATAGAGCCCGACGTACATAAGCATGCAGATTGAAGTATAGTGGTTGAAGCTGGTACCAAATGTTCTCCAGGTCAGTTTCAAAAGTTGGAGTTTCATAAAGAGATCTCCAGTAAGCACCGTTGTCTGCATGTCCTGTACACATACATGCATACATATAGTGTGAGCCTAGATAAGCTTCTTAATATTATGATACAGCATATATATGCAAAAATATATGTTATGTTTTTCTTCATATACTTCACACCCATATAGCAAAATTAAGAGAAAAATATTAATGTTAACCCTTCTATTTAAACAATGACAGTAGTAATGATTATGAGGCACTATAGGGCAGTTTCTGACACCTATAATCGTTCATCCTGATCAGGCCTAACATAGTCTGCCACTTCTGTGATTATTCAATTGAAATGCTTGAAAGTGGCAGCACAAATGATTTTCTCTAGGATATTTTTTATTTTATTATTTTATTTTATTTATTTTCCATATTTATTACTTTTATAAATAATTCAAGGCAGCAAACATACCTAATACTTCTTCCTATTTTCCCCACAACAACCCTGTGAGTGGGTTGGGCTGAGAGAGAGAGAGTGATTGGCCCAAGATCACCCAGCTGACTTTCATGACTAAGGTGACTAGGCCTCAGTTTCCTGATTTCTACCTTGGTGCCTTAGCTACTTCAGCACACTGGCTCTTCATATACCATCAGTATTTGCACAATAACGCTAGCTTTTGAGTTTTACTTTTAATTATATTGATTCTACAGCTCTTGAGTCACCATATTTTTCTTTGTCACATTATTAAATTTCTTTACCATTTAATTTGGCAGCCTTATTGCTCAGATGTACATATCTCTCATAGTGTCTTCGGATTTTCTTCCCTGATGCATCCCGCCAACCTTTCCAGGTGTTAAGAAGCTCATCATAGTCTCTTGATTTAGCCATAGTATCTGTAAGGTCTGAATAAGAAATCAGTGCACATATTAATGTTTATAATTGGACCCTTATCTCCCAGCTATACCTTTTGTATTCCCCCCATTGCACATGTTTTATATGGGAGAAATGGGAATTATACCTAACAGGTTTGGAGGGTACTAAGCTGGGAGAGGCCTCCCTGCATTTTAGAAGCTGAATTCTTCCACACACTTTCTTCTTCTCAAAGAGAACCCCAGTGCTGTGGAATATATTTTCCTATTTTAAACAACAATCTGTATCTAACTCTGTTTTCATGAGCAAGATGTATCTCACAAACATCAAAATAATAATTAGTACAACATTACTAATATTTTCCCCCAATCCATTTCTTATTGAACATCTGGGTGCTTTCCTATTGAAGATGGATTGTTCCAACAAAGAGTTCCAATGACTCAAAATGACTTGAAAGCCTCCTTTACTGCAAGTTTAAAATATGTGGGATCTGTTGTGTGATAACAATATTCCTGATCTGATCCCTTTAGGGATGGACAGTTATAATTCCATATTATTAGTCATGGAAAGCTGTCCTGCAGTGGGGGAAGATATATTTTCAATATACTCAAAGCTCAGTCTTCTTTATGAGATCTAAATACTGCTTCTCATGGTACCAAAGTGATCTTTGAATGTAAAGTTGTAACTCCTAAATTTTATGTCTATATCAATTCCAGGTGAGTTTCAAGAAATTAGGGGAGAGGAATAAGAGATTATTCCTTAAAATTATGTGACAGTGATGGGACTTACCAGGATCTAATGCTTTGCAGTCTGTATCTTTTTCACAGATTTTGGCTACACTATAAATTGTCTCCATTTCTGAGAGCAGTTGATTATACTGAAAGAAATAAGATTATTTTACCATACAATATAAGAACTGGCTTATGTCTTGTCTAGTTGACCATCTCTTTCTACTAAAGGATTTTAATGGTAACATATTAATTACCATTAAATTAATAAAAATGGATGATAATGGCACTCCATTAACCATTCAACTTTTTCTTTCCTAATAATAATACCCCAGAATAATATTTGTGACAACAAATTGGCTGAAATTAATTATCCTGAATTTGTGATGCAAACAGGATCAATAATGGAATAAAAACTTGTTCATGTATTGCAGAATCTAGTAGTGTTCCTTTCACAGTGTCCTTCCAGAGAATTACTTCTTCACAATAGGTTTTCTTATTCCTTTATTATCAAGAGATTATCTACAGCTACAAATGAGTTCACTGTCCTAGACTGAAGTGCAGCATAATCTTCAATCAGAGATCCAGTAGCTCCTCGCCTGAATCACTTTTTGTAATATGGTGAAAATATTATACTGCCAACAAGCCAATGAAGATTGATATGTCCCTTTTCCATCAGATTGGCAGCTTGCTATTTTAAATTTTACTCACTGTAAGAGCTATTACATTGTTTATTATTGCTTTATAATTTAGTTTATAAACTACTTAAAATCTTAGAATCTGAAGTTGTTTATGTGAATCCACAGACAAGGATTTCATGCCTCAGGGGAATTTGAGGAAGAAGAAAGATGTCACTGGCATACTTTTGACTTTTTCCAAATACTTAGATAACTTTTATCAGTGACTTCATTTAAATGTCCAAAGTTTGTGCTAGAGATCTTCAGCATTACATTCTAGAATCTACCTGACAAGCAAAAATCAAACTATAATAATAATAATAAAGTTGGAAGGGACCTTGGAGGTCATCTAGTCCAACCCCTTGCTCAGGCAGGAAACCCTATACCATTTCAGACAAATGGCTGTCCAATCTCTTCTTAAAGACTTCCAGTATTGGAGCATTACCAGCTTCTGGAGGCAGGTTGTTCCACTGATTAATTGTTCTAACTGTCAGGAAGTTTCTCCTTAGTTCTAGGTTGCTTCTCTCTTTAGTTAGTTTCCATCCATTACTTCTTGTCCTGTCTGCAAGTGCTTTGAGGAATAGCTTGACTCCCTCTTCCTTGTGGCAGCCCCTGAGATACTGGAAGACTGCTATCATATCACCCCTCGTCCTTCTCTTCATTAAACTAGACATACCCAATTCCAGCAACCGTTCCTTATATGTTTTAGCCTCCAGTCCCCTAATCATCTTTGTTGCTCTTCTCTGTACTCTTTCTAGAGTCTCAACATCTTTTTTATATCGTGGTGACCAAAACAGGATGCAGTATTCCAAGTGTGGCCTTAACAAGGCATTGTAAAGTGGTATTAACACTTCACATGATCTTTATTCTATCCCTCTGTTAATGCAGCCTAGCACTGTGTTGGCTTTTTTGGTAGCTGTAGCACACTGCTGGCTCATATTTAAGTGATTGTCCACTAGGACTCCAAGATCCCTCTCACAGTTACTACTATTGAGCAAGGTACCTCCTAAACTATACCTGTGCATTTGGGTTTTCTTGTCTAAATGTAGAACCTTACTTTTTTCACCATTGAATTTTATTTTGTTATATAGCTCCCAGTGTTCAAGTCTGTCAACTGTTGCAAAGTCATATCTTTTTATTTCAGGACTGGAAGGTAGTCTAGAAGTACTCTGAGACTAATGAATGAATGAATGAATGAATAAATAAATAAATAAATAATCAATAGAGATGTTGTCTATTTCTGTGAGAAAGGCAGATTCTGTATCTTAGGTATGAAAATTAAATAGATCCAAATAATCAACCAAAATACTTACAACTGATATACAACAACTTACAGAAAAATTATAAGTCAGACACAAAGATGGTGGCTTTTTGATCTCTATAAATACACTCTCTCTTTTCCACTAAAGAAAGCTGAAGAGGCTTTTTGACTGATAGAAGTGATAATTTAACCTTTCTGCAATTTACTATCCTCAACAAAAATTGGGAAGTAATTTTTACTTTTATTTTTTTTAAAAAAAGCTTACTTATATTTTTATATGCAACATGTCTAGATCTTCAAACTTAAAGTGACTAGGCCCAATGGTGGGATTCAGCCGATTCGCACCACTTTGGCAGAACTGGTAGCTAATTTTTTTATTGCCCAGGCCCAGAATGGATTTCCGGAAGCGGCATCCACACAGAGAACCGGTTGTTCAAATATTTTAATCCCACCACTGACTAGGCCCCAGTAATTAAGAATGAGAACAAAGGAATCCATTACATATAAAAGTAAAATATTACAAGCTTCCATAATTATGCAATTTATTTTTTTTAAAGCACCATAAATAGTATCTCCCTTCAATCTCACCTCCTTCAGTTCTGCTTCAGGTAAGGCTGCCCGTTCAATGTCACTTAATTTCTTCAGAATACGCTTTATTCTGGGATCTTTGAAGTCAGTGGAATCAAACTGCCGAGCCTTTAATCCATTTTGCAGAGTATGGTTTGACATTGCGAGATTCTTCTCCAACTACAAAAAGGAACAGGAAAAAAATGAAGAATACGGATAACAGAATAGGAGCTCTGCTGCTCCAAAGAAACAAATAACATTAATTCAAATTATAATCTGGTGTGTACAGGGCTATTAACAGTATTAACACCACAAATCTGTTACTAGCAATTGCAGTTATTAACAAACTAGCAATCCATTGCTAACTATTCAGAAAATCCAGATTATTGTTTAGTAACAGGCCTGCATAAAAGAATCTAATCTGGCAACTCACAGGGAATGCATGTATAATATTATGCTAGAATAGTAATATGTGAAGTACAATTCCAACAACAAGAAGCCAGAATTGAAGGATATTGGGAACAAGTGGGATGTAGCAAGAATCTCTTAGCTTTGGACATTCTGTCCAAATCTTTGCCATTCAGGTTTCAGTGATTTACAATACAATAGAGGAGGAGGAGGAGGTAGTTAAGTCAGCTAAAATTGCATCAATAAAATGATTTTTAAAAAATGATGTCAGAAAAGTACTAAATTAAGGGGTGAAGTGTTTATAAGGTCTTAATAAGAAATATCAGTTGCACTGTAATTTACAATGAAGGGAAGCACTAGTATTCATATATCTAGATGTGCCTCTATATTTGCCAATTGTAATAAATGGAACATAAGCAAAATATTTCACTCTTTTAAGCCTGGAACATTATCTGTTTTGCTTGTTTCTCTTTGGGAGTTCCTGCAAGGATTACTAAACAGTGTGGACTTTCCTACCATAATCTGTTTGTTGTGTTCAGTAATATTGACATTGTATGTCCAAGAAGCCTCTGTGTAAGCATTCCACACCACTTCAGCTGTGCTGTTATACTTTTCTAAGAATGCTTTAGCTTCAGCTTCATCAGTTATTTTATCTGGAAGATAGAAAGATTAATGTGTAAGTATACACATACACAAGTATACATGTGTAAATAAAAATAACATCACCATCACTTGGGAAAAAAAGTTGAATTTGTTTAATTATTATCAGTGTGGGTCTAATTTGTCAAAAGAGAAGTACCAAGATCCCAAGTTATATCAAAATTATATTAGTTATGATAGAATCAGAATCATGTCCATCCCATCAGCTAAGTATGACTGCTCCTGCAGTAAAAATACGATTACCAGATATCTGAACAGACAAAGGAGATCATACACAATTGGAAAGGAGGAAAAGGGGGAACATACTAATTGTTTAATTTTCTTGGCTACTGTAGCAAAAATTACAGTGAAAAACTGCAACAAAAACATACTTAGGCCTATATGTACATGAAATTACTTTTTTCCAGCATGAGAAAGACTGTTTTTCAGAAATGTGCTAGAATCTTTAGGAAGCAAAAGCCTTCAGCATGTAACTGATTAAAAAAAAAATTCAGTTTCAGGAAGCAACACAGAATGTACCAACCAACTAATTAAGGTCATAGAGCAGAACTTGTTAGCTTGTCTTAGCACTTATTAGTGAAGGACTACATGCTCAGCATGCTCAGAGACACTCTCTGCTATTCTTACCTTATACTAGACCAGGATAAAATATGTTTATATGAAGCATATTCTACAAACGAGTTCTGGAAAGTTCATGGACCTCTCTAAGACAGCTCCATTTTCTATCCCGTGAATGCGATGGCAGCACTAATTTGAGAAGCTGCCCTCATTCATTGGAAGATTAAAATGAACATACAAGAAATGTATATTTTAGAAACCATTATTCACCACAGAGAGAGCTGCTTTTCAGGCTATTTGTTGCACAGAGCATCAATGGAAGAGATTCCAATACAGCTTGTTTGTGCTTTTTTTCTCATCTTCTATAGCTCCTTAATCAATTGCCAATCCAACAAATAAGCAAGTATTTGAAGGAACAATATTATTAGTTTTGAAGAAGTTTTATCCCATTTGCAACATCCTCATTGTGATTATGCAACACAACAAATAGCTAGCCCTGATTTCACAGTCATATCTAGTTCAGTTCCAAACTGTTATAGTTACATCAATCATTGGTTCCTGAATTTAGGTCTCATCTTTACACTTCTTTTATATATATATATAATCTCTCATTTTTCCATATATTCCACTGCGTAGTTAGAATGATAACTGGATATTCCTGTGCGATTATGACTACCAGGTTCAAGTACCAGTTGGTATCTGGAGATAATGATTCTTCTATCCCCCACTCCCACTTTTTTTGGGTGACCCGTTGCAGATAAAGACTAAGCCTCCCAGTGCAACCTTCAGTCTATTCTCTCTGAAATGGGTATCATTTTAGGTTTTATGCATGGAAAATTTACCAAGGCCTTCTGGATAGCCCTCAGGGACAGGTGGACGCCAATCAAATTCTGGCCAGCCCAGTGTTTCATTGTTCTTCCCATTCTCTTTTTGCAGCCATTCAATAACTGGTTTGAAATATTCAAGCAATGCTGAAGCATCCATCTTATTTGTACCAGTCAGTTGTTGGAGAATATCTTGCCAAGGCTGGGAAGATCCAGCCTTCATTGCCTCACTGCAGTGAAGATAAAGAAAGAGTAAATAGATGGAGCCATTGAGATTAGAACTGACACATGTGTGATTTAAAATTGTTAAAATGACACAAGTGACATACCAGAAAGAGGGTTGTTTTTTACAAGTAATTGAATTTGCAATGATAATTTATCTTCACAACATCCTGATCTTGGAAAACCATTATGCCAATAAAACTAATTAAAAGATGGAGATGTTTTTGTTTTGACAATCTTTTATAATTCTCACAATCTACAGAAACTCTTCTCCTGGAGATCAGATTGCCAAACTTCAGCATGTTTTAAAGTCCAAAAAATCATCATTGTTAAGGAAAAAATAGGTAGATTTTGCTTTAGTATAATCATTCCGTTTTCCCACCTATATATCTGTTTCATGCTTGATGTAGAGGACATAAAGAATGGCTTTCAAGGACAGTTGGAAGTTCCATTACCAAGGCAATGAAAAGATATACATAGCTTAAGCCCATTCCAAGAAACTAACTTGAGAAAATGCCTTAACAGATCTCTCCCTAATTCACACAAGATTCAAGCGAGGAAGGAAGGGAAGCACATTTAAATTTGCAAGATTATGTTACAATAATGTTCTAATAAAAGTAGTTTTAGACCTAAATTGCATTGTTTTCATGATCTGTATATGCTATAGGGTGACACTTATCTATATTCACCTTTTGGCATTCACTTCATAACAAGATTAGGTTGGGGGTTACTAAGGCAATCCTGGACTTTCAATGGAGCAACTTTTTGTTTTAATTTTGGCATTTCAAAATGATCCCTCTTGTCATTTTAGAATGAAGGCAGGAATGGAAAACACTGATACATTCTTAGCTAAAGTATGAGGACCTCTAATATTTTAGATATAAGTTTATTTCTTGCCAGTTCCCCCTTTCCCTTTGCTTTCACCTGAGTTTCTGTCCAGCTTCTTTAGAGTTATAGATGTCACATGTATGAAGATCACCAGTATGGTTGGCAGCTTGGCAAAGGGCCTTGTGGAATTGGAATTGCAGAATAAAACTGACAAAGTACCTGCCCAAAACAAAAATCCATATTTTTACTAAATATATGATACATAAACACATATTATAATACAAAAGTCAATCCTTTTAGACTGAAAATATTCAAATTCTGAATGGGAAATATGAATTACAAATACAAATAATATACTCTTGAAGGTGAAATTCATAATTTTTGGCAATAAGAAAATCTCATCTTTCTTTCTACACTTTAATTAACCTAATGGTATAACTATTACTCTTACTTGCACTGAATGCTGTTTAAGGGTAAATTAAGCATAAAGTAATTTTGCTTTGGAGATCTTGAGAATTTGCTCTCAGATACTCAATATATAAGAAGGTTTGGTATAACATAGGATTGTGGGCATGCAGAGGTGTTCTTCAAGAACCGTCAGCCAGATATTCTTAAGCAGAAGCTAGAAAGATCCATAGTTGTGCCAAGAGTTTATTATGACTGGACCAAAGATACAGTTCATGATGTAATTTAACTGTAGGTCTAGAGCAGGGGTGATGTGTTGCGACATATTGTGACTTTATTTCCATTACCGGCAATGGGATGGGCGCAGTTTCAGAATGACGCATCTGGCCCGTGGGTCAGCAGTTTGATACCCCTGGTCTAGAGTTTCTCTACTCTAGAAGAGAACACTAGCTAGATTTTTTTTAAGCTGTTTGCTGAAATCTTCAACTCCACTAAACCCTATTATGTTCCCAACTCCCCTATGAAAAAATCAAAGCATGAATCATTCTTTCCCAGTAACAACAAAACTTCCTAAAATTTCATATTTACAGCTTTCCTTTTTCCAGCTTCCAATACCTGATATAAGGTGTGTTGCCAGGGATGTGATATTTAGCCCCAGGATCAAAGTTTGTTTCATTTCTTGCAATAGGAGGACAAATTCCTTGATATTTTGTTCTGGGAAAAAAAACAACTTAGCCAATGGACAAAGAAGGAATGGAAAAAATAAGGACAATCATCTCTCAACAACAAACAGACTTCAGATTCAAGCAAAGGGTATGTGTAGATATAATAGCAATCATTTAAAGATCACAAGAAGCAACTACTTTGCATTCAGTTTTCCTTATTTCCTTCAAATAAATTAATACTTTCACTTCATCTATCTCTTCAGATTTCCCCCTTCTTATAATCTTATATTCTCAGATATATGAATTATGTTTGTCAGAGGAATGGCTATGGAGGATGGGTGGTTATAAAAAGTTAAAATAAGCAACATTATATAAAAACAACAATCATACATAAAACAACAACATACTTAGAAGGGTCTAGGTTGGAGGATTACATTTGTTAAACATGCTGCTTTGCTTGCTTGTCACTCATTATGGCAATTTTCTATTTGCTTTGCTGAGGTTGTTTTACCTTAGGTACCACCAATCAAAATTGTAGCGGCTCGGAGGGGTGCGTCCACTGAAGACATCCCACCGCCATTGATCAATTAGATAGCCAAAGGGTAGGAAGGCAATCTTTTCCAGGGCCATTTTCAGAAGATAATTGATATCACTCTCTGCAAGGAATAAAGGAAGAAAAAATGTAAGAAGCTTCCAAAGAGAGTTTATTTTAAATCCTTGTGTGTATCCAGAAGGTGGCAAAGAAGAGTTGAAGTAAGAGTAGATTAGCAATCTATATAGATGAATTCTCTGTTAAGAACAAACCAGCAGATTCCCTCTCTCACAAACTAAGAGCAGTTGCTTGAAAATCAAATAGCTTGATCCAAGTGCCTCTGGGAAAGGCAGAAACATCTACAGTATATTTTACCTTAGAAAAATAATTTGCTCCAACCAGCACAACAGCAGCTACATCCTGAACTTGTCTGTAGTTCTATATTGCATTATTACAATTCTTTTCAATGTGGACATTTGTGTGTGTGTGTGTGTCCGTATGTGTATGTATCTGTGTGTGTGTGTGTGTGTGTGTGTGCGCGCGCGCACTTGCTTTCATTGACCTAAAGCAATAGGGAGGAGATGGCAAATTGTATGATTCAGTACATTTTTTTCTAGGTAAAAAAGGTAAAGGTAAAGGTTTCCCTGTTGGTCGTGTCTGACTCTAGGAGCCAGCATTGTCCAAACATAATTTATGTGGTCATGTGGCCCTCATGGCTATATGCCAAAAGCACATGGAACACTGTTGTCTTCCCACCAAAGTGGTACCTATTAATCTACTTGTATTTGCATACTTTGAAACTGATAGGTGGGCAGGAGGTAAACCTGATTCCAAATCCTTGATAACAATTATTTATCATATCCAGTATGAAAAACATCTCCCATCAACTTTACTGGTTTTCTCCTTCTGTATTGACCTCAGCCATTATGCTCATCTTACCTCTGTCTTCAGTGACATGGGTGAGCAGCTCAATTTTCTTGAGATGGATGGGGGTAGAAACAGACAAACTCATGACATCTCCAATGGCTTCATGAAAGCCAGGGTTGGCCCCACTGCGAAAACTTACTGGCTGGTCCTTATACTGCAAGTAATATTGAACGTGACCCATTTCATGGTGTACTGTAAAGAGCTGCTCCATAGTAACTGTTGTACACTGCTTTATCCTGCAAAACAGGGAACAGGAAAGTGAGTGTTCAGTGAAGACTGTATCACAATATAATAACAAGGCATCTATTGCTTTTGTAACCTGGAACATTTGCTGATAGCCTCAGAACAGCTGAAAAGGACCTTTTTTCTTGTGCCAAAACTAGGCTTTCTATGATTCCTTGAAGAAAACATGTAATTTAAAGAGAATTTAGAACAAATTTAGACCTCCTTTCACCATCTACCTAACTTACTTCACCCCTCAGCCATTCATTAAAAATTTATCAATTCTAACACCTCATTGAACGAATAGAAAGAAACAAGAGAGGGGTGGATGGGATGATAATTTTGGCTTTGACTTGACAGTGACTACCTTTGACTCTGAAAGCATAGCTTTGTGGCAGATTAACACTAAGGAATTGCACTCTTTCACACAAGCAAATTCTGAGCTTTGGTGAATTAACCCCATTTCTTGCATTCTTAATATAAGAGAAAGTAATATTGTCCTGATATCACTTTGCTAAGTACCTTTTCCAGATGTTGACATAGGTGGCAGGATAGAGAAGGAAAAATCATACATGCACTTAAAGAGAACAAAAATTATAGTGTAGGGCAGAAATGGCCTATATTTTGATAGGTCAGGATTGTACTTAGTATTTTTGGCAAGGTTAAGGTATAGTGGGCAAAGCAATAGTGCATAGTGCATAATAACATTATGCAAATGGATGGGGTTAGGAGCATAACTTAGGGCCTGCTGTGTAGTTTTCTTGCAGAGTGGGATTCAAGAAGCTGCTAAAAAGCAGGAATCCTTGAAGCATATGTGTTCTTGGAGTTTTATGATAATCAATCTAATACATCATCTAGTTAAATTCACAGCTCCCTAATTATTTCCAAAATTAGAAAAAAGAAATCTTTCACCTAAGTGGATTTTAATCTTTTTACCAGCATCAAACCTTGCATTTTTCAAAAAAGCATATATTTTAAGTTTTGACTTTCTACTTATACTTTTAACTGATTATATAATAAAAATATTTCTGAATTTGTGAGATACAGAGAAGTCAGAAAAAAATTCCTTTGTTCCCTAAAAAAACCAGACCTACTTCATATGTCTCTATGCCAATAAGATCTCTTTGCATGGCTAAGGTGCCATCATATACAATATGCACCTGAAGTCTTTGCGATTGAAGAAGTCCCATGCTGATGCATGGCACACCACCTCCCGCCCATCTGTCGGTTTCTCCAGCATGGATTTCTCCCAGAATTCAGGTGGCATTTCAAACATGCCAAGTGAGGTGAAGAATTCTTCCGACACCCGGAACATGTGTGTTGCGTTCCAGTTCTGTGAAAGGCAAGAACCCATCCGAAGCATTAGATAGCACAAATGTGTTAGAAATTGTTCTTGGGGATTGATCCCAGGTTACTCAGGTATAATAAATTACATGGGCATTTGTTGCTTGAGGTTTAGAATGTCATGGAGAACTATTGTTTAGGAAGAAAAAAGTTACAGAGTGCAACAGAGGAGAAACATAGCAAAGAATGTGAATCTTCTGCACTATCAGATGAGAGTTGCCATATAGCTTGGGGATAAATACTACTGTATTTGTCTCATTTGAATAGTTGTGTCAAGAAATAAAATTACCCCCCCAATGTGCTACTGAGTACAACAATGTATATGAATATCACTGTTACTCCTGTATAGCGCTTGCATGTAATCTTGAACAGTCCTTCTGAAAATTTAGCATGAAATGCAGACCTCGAAATGCAGAAATTGAAGCTAAATACACCTGGCAATTACATAGAGAAGCAGCATTGGAAAATATCTATAACATAAAATGCTGCATTGGAAGAATTCCATGGAGAATTCATGTGGTTCACTTATGCATTTTAGTCATGCATACCTGGCTTGTCATCTTTTGATGTTATGTTGAGCAGATAACATTATTATTGTTGTTGTTGTTATATTATTATTATTGATCATCGCACAGTCAGCCAGATGATCAGACTGGATTTGGCATTTTTGTCTACCTATCGAGTCCTTACCAAGGACCTGGGATAGGCAGATCTGGATGTTTGATGGTATTGCAGATATTGTCGCAGGATAGAAGCTGTTCCTAGTAAGGCTGCCTTTTGCAATTGACTAATGGTGAATTTGTCAATTCCAATGGTGTTCAAGTGGTGCTCCAGTTGTTTTGGGATTGCATCCAAGGCGCCTATTACTATTGGTACTACCCTTGCTTACCTTTGCCACAGTCTTTCTATTTCTATTTGTAGGTCTTTGTATTTTGTTATCTTCTCCAGTTCTTTCTCGTCTATTCTGCTGTCTCCAGGCATTGCTACGTCCACTATCCAGACTTTTTTGTCTTTCTTATCGACAATGGTTAAGTCTGGGGTGTTATGTTGTTGTTGTTGTTGTTATTATTATTATTATTAATAATAATAATAATATTATTATTATTCCAATTCTTGCTCAGAGAACAAATAATCATCTCACTGCTGGATGAAAAGGTGTCACTAGCAATATTTGTGTATATGGGCATTTTCAGTTTCAGTTCCTACTAACTGCTGCAGCCAAAGAGAATAGAATAAAACCGTAACACTAATGTCCTTACTTTCTGCTTCATGGTATTGGTAACATCTAGATGTGGCTTATTTGCAAAAGGCACCATCATGTCGTAAATGTTGTTCCATTGCTGGGCCCACATGTTACCTGCAGGGGGCAAAGCAGCACTGTTTAGCTGAATAAAACCAACAGCTTGAAGGGGAGGGAACGGCTTATACATAAAATTAGACAGAAAGTGTTATTTGGCACAGAGTTTAGAGGGAAACAGCCAATAGAATAAGAGTCAGAGGAGACACTATATTAATTCCATGAATGCATGTGACAATTTGGTTATATAAACAACAGCGACAGGGAATCATAGCAGCCTCTGGACAAAATGCACAACCAGGAAAAAGACCAATTCTTCCTCTTGTTACTGTAGTTTCAATGACAAGCACTGAAATTCCAAAGCTCACAGAACCTCTTTATTTAGAAATTATTTACATGTGAACATTGGCATGTAAAACATGTGTCAGTTTCCACAAAGGCTGCATAAATATATAATTCAGGCTTCTAGCCTTTCCCCGTGTTACTCCAATGCACCTTCTCCATTGGATGTAGTACGTTTGTAAATCCTAGAAAGGAGGTTAAAATGCTCATAGAGTACCATTTATAGCATCTTTCCTTCCTTCCTTCCTTCCTTCGCCTTTATTTTGTGCAATTCAAAGTGATGTTCCACCTTCTACACAACAACTTTGCTCACAGTTACTCATAACTTAATCACTTCCTGTCTGGATTATTGCAATGTGGTTTACACGAAGGACCACAAAGAAGTTACAACTGGTCCAGAATGCAGCAACACAGATTGTATGATATACCAATACAGGAACTAATAAAGGAGAATATTTGTAGCTCAGTGTAACACACAATAACAGAGTGGGAGGGGACCTTGGAGGTCTTTTAGTCCAACCTCCTGCTCAAGCAGGAAATCTTATACCATTTCAGACAAATGGTTGTCCAATCTTTTCTTTAAAACCTCCAATGTTTAATTGTTCAGTGTTGATATGAGGGGCCCTTGGAACTCTCTAAGCTTGCTTGTTTTCTTCCAGACATTTCTTAACCAAATTAGGTAACACATTCAATGTTAATGACGTTACCTAGTTTGGGTAATGAAACATTTGCAAGAAAACAAGCAAGCAAGAGAGCACCAAGGACCCCACCAAAACACGTGTTCATAGATTCACCCATATTGCACCTCTATTGCATCAGTTGCACTGAAATCTGGCATCAATTTCCTTTCAGGTTTAATTCAAGGTGCTTGTTTTAAAGCCTTACATGGCATAAGGCCTGGTTACTTGAGGACCACCTCTCCCTAAGAATATCTGTCCATCCTATTGGATCAGATAGGATAGGCAAGTGTCAGAATCCAAATATATTCCATCTCTAGTTATCAACTATGAAAACCTGCATTTCTGCCTGCTCTGGATTCTGTCATACGATGTTCCCTTCCCCCACTTGTTTCCCCGAAATACCGGGAGTGAAGGAAGTCGGATGAAGTTTCCCTGACCTACACCTATAGTGGTTTGCCTGATTGTTATTGTTACTCCCAGTAATCGAAAGTACATTAGGAAAACCTTCAGAGGAGGGCCGTTACTCCTTTTCCCCGTGAGAATGTAATGCCTGGGATTGTCGCTGGGAGACGGGGGTGACGGGGGTGTGGCTAATGGGGGATCCCTTAAAACCTTGAATGGGAGAGCTTGGACCCAAGTCCTGTCTAGAACGCCTGCATCCAGCTTTCTCTTAATAAAGATGCCTGTTGGAAGAAATATTCCAGGAGTTCTGTCTTCTTAAAATGCAAAGTGGGGTGGGTCCTTACAGCAAGCTTCAAATCTCTTCCCTAAAATTCTGCCACTTAGTGGGACTTTGGAAGCATGTCTCATCCATAGCTGTCCCTGTCTTTTGGAACACCCTTCCCAGTCATTTAGCAGGCCCCCCCACCCTGTAATCTATTATCTATTATCAATAGGTAATAGGAGTTATAGTATAATCTATCAGGAAGACACTAATTTAGCAAGACTGCTCTCCAATGCCCAAAACATGTGACTGAAATCCAATTTTGCTGCCAAATTTTGGTGACACAATTTCAGGTTATATTTATGTTATTTGGGTTTAAAAGTAAAAATAAGACTAGTTTCCTCCCAGTCTCTCATTCAAGTCAGCCTACAGCCATTCAAAAGTTGCCAACTTTTAGTATAGAATATGATGAGATATTAAGGATTCTCCCAATTCTTCCCCACCTGATCCCCACTCTATTATATACATACAAACTTTTTTTTACCCAATAAGTGAGCAGGAATAGGGCCTTTCAGGTTTATGTATTTAGAGCCATATTGGTTATATAGTTTCCTTCTGACATATGCATGGAGATTTAGATAGAGAGGCTCCAACTGTTGATAGAGTTGCTCTAGATCTTCCTTAAATGTTGGTGAATCATACCAGGAGCGCCAATAAGCCCCAGTATCTTGGAATCCTAAATATAAAAATAATACAGTATTCAGTATGAATTCTTACAATACAAATAAGCTCTTTAAATTATCCATAATTACTTTAGAATTACAGAATGTAGTTGTGAACAACCCCTCTTCTAGACTGTTCTGCACCATTTATAATATAATTGAACCAGTCCAATTCTGAAGCCAGAAAATGTCCAATTCTAAATCCAAAGACAGTGTTTCCAAATAATTCCTAATTGTACTTAAAGTAGGTGTAGAGTTGCAGAGCCAGGAGGAAAGGGGGTGAAAAGAGGAATCAGTCTAGAATCCCTACATAGCTACTAATAGACTAAATCCAATCCTGTTAACAGGTTATCTAATTCCGAGCAGGTACTTTTAGCAATAATTCAGTTGATTATTATATTTAATTATTATAATATAATTAATTGGATCTTCACATGTGGACCTGGTCTGTTGCACCTGACATTGGGCTCTTGAGAATGACCAAGTTAACAAGTCAACCTCAGTATATCAATAATTCCTTATGCTGCTACAGTCTTACCAACTTTGGATAGTTTTCCATATGAATCTGATATGGTACATTTGACCCCTTTTGTTATAGTGATCAGGGTCAAGCATTTGATCACATGTATGCCATATTCTTGAATACTTTTGAAATGGAATGCAAAGGTTGAGACTAAAAACACAACAGATATGTTGATCACAAACTGTTAGCTCACAATAGTTTCATTTTGGAATGGCAATGGATGGAAAATAAAACACAACAACTCATTTAAAAAATATAAGAGTAAAGGTCCATGAAGGCGTGTTAGGCTTATGGAGGGTTATAATATGCCTCTTTCTCAATCCAGGTTTCTTAATTTGAATTTAAAAGGCTTAAATTGTTCTTCAGAAGGCAGATTTTCAATCCAGTTGGTTGATGATCCCATCCCCTGTCTATATTTTTAACATCTCACCATCCATTTTATAGGCTTCGTTGCTCAGGGAAACAAATTTCTCATACATGGATCTCAGAGGATTGCCAGCAGAATTATGCCATCCTTCCCAGGCATAAAGCAACTTCCTGTAACTATGAGAAGTGGCCATAATTTCTGTAATATCTGATGAGCATGAAAAAAAGAAGAGACATCAAAGAAATCATTAAAGGATTATACAACTGAATCCAAGGAACATCAAAAAGCCACTAGTGTTTGCACTAACTCTTCTACATATCTATCTACATAAAGAACAAACTGGGTATGGAAGACCTATTTAGCAAAAAATGTGATTTTCTAGTACCATTAAATGATTCCATTACACTAGCGTTTGAGGATTTGAAGAAATGCTCTATCCTTACAGTTGAACTCATTTGCACAGCTGATAAGAAACTGGATTCAGAAGGTCTTTCTTTTTTTAAACATCATGGTTGAAGTGACTAGAATTCCAGAGACTCTTGTAGCTATTAGATCAAAGCCATCATTATTTTTTGAATCTAGTGTCTAGATTCTCATCACTGATGTCATCTTACTTGTTTCAGCTGTTTTCTTTCTATATGTTTCTAAGTAATTGGTACTTGAAGTTTGGAATCCTGATAAAATATACTGAGAAGTAACATAGCAATATGAAATATTACTGAACATAGGCAAGGGGTGTATCAAGTGCTTGTAATCTTGCAAGACTTTTTAGAAAGTCCCACCTATAACTGCTCTGGCATACTGTATGTGCGAATGTATCAATTATGTATTATGAGAACAACAATTACAGGTAAGCAGCTTGGTTCCCTACCTTAAATACTAGAGGGTTACATAGGTAGGAACTTACATAGCTAGGAGGAAGGATTGTTATTGTTTCAAAACAATTGGGATTATATTTCAGAAACGAAGCAAATAGCTGCAAGAAATCTGCAAAAAATACAGTGAGACATGTGCAGATCTGGGAAAATAAAACAACCACTTCACAAATGCCTGGCACAACACAGGACAACAACCCAGGAGGACGGGATTCAGCAGTCCATCTATATCTGAAAGACAAAGGCCACTCTTTGGACAAAGAGGACTACTAGTTTGAAAGACAGGTAAAAGAAGCCATCTACAGGTAGTCCTTGACTTACAACAGTTCATTCAGTGACTGTTCAAAGTTACAAGAGCACTGTAAAAAGTGATTTATGACAGTTTTCACACTTAAGACATTGCAGCATCCCCTTGGTCATGTGTTCAAAATTAGACTCTTTGCAACTGGTTCATATTTATGACATATGATTAGGGGGTCACATGATTAGCTTTTGCAACCTTCTGACAAGCAGAGTCAATGGGGGTTCATTTAACAATGTTACTAACCTAATAACTGCAGTGATTCACTTAACAACTGTGGCAAGAAAGGTCATAAAATGGGGTGAAACTCACTTAACAAATATTTCACTGACAACATAAATTTTGAGCTCCATTGTGGTCATAAGTCGAGGTCTATCTGTATATTAAAATTAAACAGCCTTCTCTCCACAGAAGGGAAGGGATACGAAACTACATCTTTTATTTATTTTATNATCCCCCCCTAGGCCAATCCCGCTTGATGGAAAAGCCATGTCTTGAGGGCACGGCGGAAGGAGGGGAGATCCGGAATAATCCGGATCTCTGGGGGGAGTTCGTTCCACAGGGTGGGGGCTCCCACAGAGAAGGCCCTCCCCCTGGGGGTCGCCAGCCGACACTGTTTGGCCGACGGCACCCTGAGGAGGCCCGCTCTGTAGCAGTCCCATAAAGGTTCCAAACCCATTTTACACTCTGATTCAGGTGACTCTGATACAGATAAACCCACAAGAAGCCTCAAAGACTTTCAGAGAATCGACCAACCCTCAGAGTGCTAATGACCAGATAACTGCAAAGAATAGAAATCCTTCCATTCCCCACTATTCAGTCAGGGCTGAAGAAGCTTCTAGGATGAGAAGCAAAATGTTCCCAAGAAAAAAAAACAAGAATGTCCTGTTTGGGAAAGGCACCTTTGGGACAACCATGACCTTGATCATTGAGACTTTCCATAGATAGTTAAGAGAAAATGAGTATCTTTTTATTCTCTAATTTGGGTTTGTTATTGATTTTTTTTTCAGATATTAGTTGATTCAAAAATAGAGACTAGGATTTCCAAATTAGGAAGTACTACTTTTGAATTGGTTGGCAATGGAAAAACTATTTTCTTACAATATGCCAGCTTCAAAAACATTATTATAGTTACCTTTGAGTAATTGTAAGGACAGATTCAGTTTATGACAAAGTAAATTATTGAAACTCAAGGGAGGACCCAGTTGATTCCAAATTAGACTTCTCAATTTCTATTCTCCAATTTTTCTTTGGAGTATTTATTTCATTCTTAAAGAATAATATCACAGAATTGCATTTTGTTAAGTAGCATGATAAATATCATATTATTTTTAAGTATTTTTGCATCTGTGGATAGCCCTGATATAGGGACTAGCAATTTTGTCATTAAGCATCATGGTGTTCAAGTAAAACACAAAACTGTGCCCAACTTACATTTTTTCCTCTGTGATAATTAAACAAATCACTCATGATTGTTAAGCACAATGTCACATGACCATGACTTGGGCATTGCTGCTGGTTTCCCCATCATCTTTGCTTGTTAGAAACCAACTGTTAAAGATTGCAAATAGTGATCATGTGACCACATGACATTGTAACTGTTATAAATGCACAGTGGTTGTCAAGGACTCAAATCAAGATCATTTGACTTCAGGATACTGCAATGGCTACAAGTTTGAAGACAATTTGTAAATCTACTTTTTCAGTGCCATTGTAAATTTAAAAGGTCAAAGAACAAGACAATTGGTAAGGAGTACCTTCATGTAAAATGTTATGTAATTACAACATATAGTTAACAGTTGGCAGTCTCAGAAGCCATAATCTACTATAAATTAATGCTCTCATAGTCCAGAAAATAATAGGAAGCATGCAAAACACCTGCAAAGATGAGCTGGGCTAATGTGGAGAAGAAAGTACATACCTGGCTCTAAAGCCCAGCAGTGGGAGTTCTGGTTTGGTAGACAAACCTTGGCAACAGAGTAGATGTTGTCCATCTCACTTAGAATAGTATTATACTGAAATTAGCATTAAAAAGTACAGGTTTGAATAACAGTCTAATTTTACAACATGTAGATTCACATTATATAGTCTATAGCCATCAGTTTTACCATAGATACCTTCATAGAAACATTTCCAAGTTACCTGTCCCTCTTGGACTTTTGGTAATTATTTTTATTTTAAATATGTAATTAAAAAGTGACACAATAAAGAAACAAGCTTCCAGCATTAGTTTATGGGAGCTATATTCATTCTTATATAATAAAAATGCTAAGCAGCTACCACTGTGTACTGTTTTGACATATTGGTTAAGGCATCAGGCTAGAAGCTGGGAGACAGTGAGTTCTAGTGCTGCCTTAGCTGGATGGGTTACTTTAGGCTAGTCACTCTCTCAGTCCTAGGAAGAAGGCAATGGCAACACAATTCTGAAGTCTTGCCAAGAAAACTGCAGAAACTTGTCCAATATGTCAAGAGCCAAGATGGAGTCAAAGTCACAAAATATATATTACCCAGGATTTTCTAGGAAGATAGCTAGCTAGATGGAAAATGTCTTTCAAAGACAGAAGGTTTTCTGATAAAACTAGGCTTTAAAGATCTCAAGAACAAGCAGGAATGCTCTGGATTATTTAACAACACTTGATTCACGAGCGAACATTTGGTAATTGGAATATTGAAAGAACTAAGGAATAATTAAAAGAAGATTTTAAAGCTTGAAATGAATGTGAAGGGGCAGCTGGAACAGGGAAGTAAAATAATATAAAATGCCTTTTTTTATAGAAATAAGTAGGTTGGAATGTATGCACAAAGACTTGCACTGAAAGAAACTGAAAAGGTTTCAGCTTGGCCATTACAATGAAGTGGTCATTGTAAGTGGATCACCAAAAAATAGATTACAATGAGGGCAGCATTGTCAGCTTCTGGTGAAGGCAAATATCTAGAAGATTACTGGAGAAAATTATTATGAAGGAAAGCTAATTTCTGGGTGAGCCTTGGTTTGAAAGAGAAGAGGAGAAGGGAGGCAATAAAACAATTAAATGTCAGAGGGAAGTGATTGCACATGCTGCAGAGAACACTAAGGGGCTGAGGGGGGAAAGGGTAATTTAGTTGATCAGTGGGAGACACTTCATTTGGTCTTCCAGATGTATACTTCTTTTGTAAGCTTTGTTTTTCAGTTAAACAGAAGTATAATATCATATTATTTAGATAGATGGAGCTGCCCTTCAATGCAAAATCAGAACTCCTATATTGACATTATTTGGTTTGTGTATATGTATTCAGTTTTAAGTCAATCTTGATTCCTGGCAACTTTGTGAACACTGTATGTTATTCGGAATGCCTGCAACATGGAGCATAAGCCAGAAAAGCAAGTGCAGCTTCCTTCTTGTGTATGCACTCTGGGGTCAGAAATAAAAGAACTGGTCAGACTTGTTTAGCTAATTACTCTTCAAATATATGTGAACGTGTTCCTCATAACCAATCAATACAGCCAAGACTGGAGTATGTTATTGTAAATATTACCTATGTGCTTTCAAAATCCTTCATTTAATTCACCCTCTCAACTTTCCCTCCTTCCGTTATTGTTTGGAATTGATAACTTATCTAAGATTATCTAAGGATCATCTCTCTCTTAGCCTTAGAATCTTTTTTCCCATTCCTACTTCTTTCTAGAATACTGATTCTTACCTCTTTCCGTTTCTGCATTGGTAAATTAGAAGGACCCAAGGTCTGAATGGAGCTGATTATTTTCTTGAGTTGTGGATCACTAAAGTTCTGCCAGATTTTGCCATAATTGTCCTTAGCTTTCCCCCCCCAAAGCTCTGTGAATTCTTGCTCCTTCAAAGAAGCTGTTATCTGTAATAGGAGTGGAAGACAAAGACATTTGGTGCATATGTTAAACTTTATTTGTTTGTTTTTTCTCCATAGTACTTGCTTGGAGAAGTTGCTGAATCACTTTTAGGACTATGAAAGAGTAAGATGCATGCTGCTGAATACCTTAAATATACTTTAGTGTTTGGAACCTCTAGGCCAGGATTGCATCCTGTGGAGGCCATTTCCCACCCCAGCTCCAGCAATGCGAAAAAAGTCACAATATGTTGCGACACATCAAGTGACATGGCAAGTTTGACACCTGTGCTCTAGGCTAAGTGTTTGTGAAAATTTGGCAGCAAATACTATAGAGCATTTAGCTCTTTAGAGCCATAGGCATGACAAAGCAAAAAAATGAACCACAACTTGGAATGGGTTTAATTAAAAGACATTAAGGGACTGATTATTTTGGAACTTATTAAAGTTTTATTTATAGATGATTCATTTTTATTTCTAACTTTCCTATCAATATGTGATAAGCCCACATTACCTTATTTTAATTAGCAATCAGAATACTGAATGCTGGTGTTAAATTAATCTACCAATTAAAACCAATGGCTTATATCTGTAGTTAGCATAAAATTGGATATATTCCCTTGAAACAGTTTAAATCCCACATTGATGAGAACTGTCTGCAATGCCTGAGCCAAACCCAGAGCAAAGTGAGACATGTCCTGGATTAAAGCCATAAACTGAAAGAACATGAGATGAGCCTGAGGTTCAGGCCAAAGTGTTCCCTAACGCAACATTCTATGTCAAACCATTGAAGAAGAAGGATAACTGGGTTTCTGATTGGGAGCCCAGAAGGATCTCCACCTGGAAATTTTGAATGGTCACAATTTATGTAACTGGCTCACCCAATGTATAATGTCCACATGATTAAATAATGATATGCAAATATGGCAAAGGCAGTTGGAGCAGAGCAAATAGTCCAAGGTGACTTATTAGAGTGAACCAAGCCACGTTTTCGTAGTAGAAGACAGCCCCTCAAGGCTAACAGCCAATCTGATGGAACAAAGAGGACCTTTTGCAACAAAGAATGAATCAGCCATGTAGTCTCTTCTCTGCAAATGTGAGCAAAGTAATGTATCCCAACATTCTGTCTCTAGATATACTGTCGCTTAAATTTAAGTATGTGAAACACAAGATCTTTTTGGTATAGGTGGGGATACTATTTTCTCCTTAAAAAGAAAAAAGTCTTTTAATAGCTCTTCCTCTCATTAAAATAACTTCCCCAAGACTTAACTATATCTAAGGAAATTAGACCAAAAAAAAAAAAAAAGAGTGGGAAAATACTTTGAGGATGAATAATTCCTTAGTTGGGGATATCATCTGCATGTAACATTTCTCGATTCAGCAAGCTAGTCATAAAAATATGTCTTCAGATGATTCCGGCAATTTTCAGTATAACTAGATTAAACACATTTTACATAGTCTCAATTAAGTAATCAGTCTTGTTGCAGCATATAAATTAATCCTAAAGTAATAGATATTTTTCTTCTTTTTTTAACATTCCCAACCACCTAGCTGGATTTGAGTATGTTGGGACACAATTCTATTAAGAAATACTACATGGATTGCATTTCTCATTCATTTTATTTATTAAAAGCTACAAACTATAGTAATCCATTGCTTTTCTACTTCTCTTAATCTACTATGAAGTGAATCTAGCCAAATCATTGTCCAAATGAGTGAAGAACTTGGAGCAAGAATAACTATCAAATAGAAACTCCATTAAATTCACATCAATGAAATTAGTAATTGCATCCTGTTAGTAATTACATCATGACATAATAATAACTAATAATTTAGCGCAGTGATTGGGAAATTGTGAAAACAGTCTGAAAAGGCAATTACAAACTGTTTCTCTAGAAATAAAAATACATGGAAGTGCCCATGAATTTGTTGAATTTAGTCAATTATATTATTAAACTTGGTAACTTCTACATGTTTGGGCTTTCAGTTTCCATTGATCTCAGCCAGTGTGGACAGTAGGAAAGGATTCTGAAAATTGTAGCCTAAACCATCTAGACAGCATCAGATTATTCATCCCTGCTCTGGTCCATCCATAGCAGATGTACAAGAATTAACTTAGCATAGCAATTGCAGCTTTAGAGAATGCTCCAAGTGAGCAGTTTTTTCTGGTGAAGTCTAAAATTACACTAATATTCTTGCTTTTCTAGTGTGAATCCTTAAGTAAAGTTCCTTAGTATCCATTAGGGGGTCATCATTCCACTCAGCCTGGCACTCAAGCAAATCAGTCACTAATGGGTATATAGAGATGAAAAACATCTATATGCCATTCAAAAGAGACAAAAAGCCAAAAAGAAAACAAAAGACCAAAACATCTCCTCACCAGCTATCAAACCCAAATGAGCAGAGATTAACACCAAAATTAATATTAGATCAGTGGTGGGATTCAAATATGTGATCAACTGGTTCTCTATGCGGATGCCGCTTCCGGAAGTCTATTCTGGGCCTGGGCAACAAAAAATTAGCCATCAGTTCTGTCGAAGTGGTGCGAACCAGCTGAATCCCTCCACTGTATTAGATCAACACTCAAGAAGTAAATAATACCTCAATCAAGCAACTACCAACTCAGACAAACAAGCTAACAGCAAGCAGCAACCTAATCAAGGAAGACCATCCACCAAGACCATCCACACCAAAACTGGCTGGTCCCTTCTACAATAATGATGTTACCTAGTTTGGTAATGAAATGTCTGCAAGAAAATAACCAAGCTCAGAGAGTACCAAGGACCCCACAGTTCAACCCTAAGCTACAAATATTCTCTTCTTTCAGTATCTCAGGTTTCTTACCATTGGGTATGTTCTTAATGCTTCAGACCAATCAGGCATGAGATAGGTATCTGAGAGGGGGGGTGTACCAATGCAGATTGCCAATCATTATCTCCGAGACCGCCTTCTGCCGCAGGTTGCCTCCCATCGGCCGGTACGCTCCCACAGAGTGGGTCTCCTCAGGGTGCCGTCAGCCAGACAGTGCCGGCTGGCGACCCCCAGGGGGAGGGCCTTCTCGGTGGGAGCCCCCACCCTCTGGAACGAACTACCCCCAGAGATCCGGGTGATCCCGGATCTCCCCTCCTTCNGTCTGGCCTAGGGAATTTTAGTGGGGTTTTTAAGGGTAATTTTAAGGGTAATTTTAACGATTGGCCTTTTCAAATATTTTCTTTTAATTTGGTTTTAATGGATATTTATTGTACTGTGGTTTTATAAGGCTGTTAGCCGCCCTGAGTCCGGTGAGGAGAAGGGCGGGGTACAAATTAAATTATTATTATTATTATTATTCTTAGGTTCAGTATCAGAATTGGATTCTATTTTTCAGCTGATAGAGCAGTGGCACTGAATCTAATTGCTTCCACCTTCTCTAACTAACTCATTGGTTTCATTATTGGATTTTCCCTTCAGTTTCATCCTTTCTGCCAGAAACCCATGAAAAGGTAATACATTTCCAAACATTTTGTTCTCATTTGCAGAGTTGTTGGCAAATGTTAAATCAAATTCCTCTACATAGATGTTGACTCTGAGGTGTACCTCTCTCATGAATCCTCAGAAATAAGCAATTATCTTCCACCCAGCTCTTCTCAGTTGTCCTTTTTTGGCTTTCTCTAATGCTACCTTGCATGAAGCATATCTCAGAATTATGTCCCAAAACCTCCCGTTTGTTGAAGAAATCATTTTCAATGAAAATGAAATTAGGAATGCAAAAATGTTGCATTTAACTAGGAAAAAAGTCAATGAACCACTGACTGATTTCCTCTACGAAGCTATTTCTATACAATTTACATTTGACATTTGAATTAAAGCTCTAGTTCTGTATCGTATATGCCTATTTCAAGATTAAATGTATATAGTATAGCTAAATAATTTAACCACATTTAAAACCTTTAAGGAGGGACAGGAAAAAAAGATCAGACCAGAAGAATTGCAAAGTTATTCTCAAATTAATTACTCCTAGTTCTTAAATCTTTCTGGAAATTCAGGACAGAGTGAAGCTTTTTATGCATAAATAATATGCAAATATCCTCCAGACTATTCTAATTAAAAAAAAACCATGGAAATGAAATAGATGACAATCTGTAAACTGCATGAGTAAGTCAAATTCTATCAATAGCTATTAGAATCCTAGTTTATCTGAGCAAAGCTAAATTTGCCAGGGTTAAGCAATGATAAACCATTATTAGTTGAAAACTGGAGCATTGTTTTTACCGTTTTCTTGCATCCATGTCATAGGAGGAAAATAGTAGAGGAAGTACAAGTATGTGCACTTATTTCTACCAAGCATAATAGGTAAAATTACATTTATTGGCCCCAGTTAAAGGTGCATTCAATTCTTGGCTTCTATGCCAAGAAAAGCTAAATTGTACAAAACACATTTGCTTCTATTGGCTTGCTGATTTTGCCTTATATAGGGGAAAAAAACCAAGAGTACTGTCATCTTGATGGCTATAAATGCTAGGTGTCTGTATTTTATTATATATCAGGTATACCACAATTTTTTTTAACTCTTTCTGTTGAATTAAGTCCCAACTCAAAAAAAAAAAAAGATCAGAGGTGGAAAGAAAGTATACCCTGGAGTTAAGTGGAACCGTTCAGGTTGTCAGTTCCATTTAACTTAGGTAGGCTGAGGGGGCCTGTCATCTGAATGCTTACCCTAATCCATCTTACACCCAACATATTTTAGTCTTGTTTTAGCATTCTCTTTCATTACAGTTCATTAGATTGTGCTCTTTTGATTCTACATGTATAACACAGAAAGCAGAGGTGGGTAAGTGAAATGGGACACAGGAAATAGGAAACAGCAACTGTGCTTCTCTTTCCTTGATGGCCAAAGTGTCACTTTTCAATGCATACTCAAGTAGGAAAAAATTATAGGGATAAATATTACTTGGTATTATGACATATGATGGAAGAAGTAACACGGAATAGGGAATAAGCAAATCAAAGAATCAAGAAATTGCTTCCAGAATTATTCAGTTGTTCCCTCTCTTTTAGCTTAGACAACAGGTTTGTATTTTAGATAACATCATTTTAAGACATTTATGTAAGCAGATGAAATCATACATACAATCACATGCAAAATAAGTATTGTTTTGTTCATCTAGGAGACAATGTACTTGTATTGTCCTTTACTCTTTATTGCTTCTTATTATTGGTAAAACACCACATTTCTGAACACCAGATTAGAAGGGCACTCTGGCTAGGCAGCCCACCAGCCCTAATTGTAATTTGGAAATATTTGGATAGTCTAAAGGTTGAAATACAGCAAGCTTCAGTTTTAAAATCTTTTTTAAATTTTGCTCTATGATTTTGATACCAAGATCTTTGCTATGGATTAATATTTTTGATCACTAATTTATGTCTCTCATTTAAAATACATTGTAGCCACAATTAATCATTGTTAAGCTTACCTGATTAGGTAAGCATGTTATTTAAAATTCTTCCCAGAAATAAATTGGATCATACATTTAAGGTGTTTGTCCTCTGGGAAGATCATAGGAAACACAGGCTGAAGTTCACATAATCGAAGAAAATAAAATTTCTAGTTATTTTAAAGGAAAACTGTCCCTAAATTTAAAGCTCTTATCTTAAAAAACATTGCTGATTGTCTTTCACCATGTTCTGACATACTTTTTAAAAGAATACTGGTTAAAAGAAAGCTACTTGTTACTCTTTTATATATTTAGAGTCAGTCAAATTGAAACATCATAAAAACTATCATTTTTAAATAAATACTTGAGAAGCAGAAGCTCCAGCATTTAAATCCCATCCTTCTCATCCTCAGTGGTACAAAACTCACCAAGGGTCCCTGTATTACCCAACAGCTAAACAAATTATCTACTCTGCTGTAGTCCAGGATTCAACTCTTTCATTAGTTACGGTAAAAGATAAAGGAATCCTCACAGGTTTTACTCCATTAGTTGTAGCTGAATTTTAGGGTGCAGCACTCATCTCCTTTTCTTTAAACTATTGAACCAGCACTGTCCCAAGACGTTTCCATGGTCATGTGTCCAGCATGACACCATGCTACAGTCTGAAGCATACTATGGAATATGGAGCACTGTTACCGTCCCACTGATGTGGTATCTATTTATCTACTTGCATTTATAGGCTTTCAAACTGCTAGGCTGGCAGGAGCTGAAGCAAATGATGGGAGCTCAGTCCATCACACAGTGGTAGGACTCAAACTGTCTGAGTGTAGACCTTTGGCAGCATCTTTTAAACCACTTAGCCACTATGCCTCCCGTTCATTAGTTAACCCTAATGATAATTCAACTGTATTTCTACCAAAACATCACTGAAAAGTGCTACCGGTAATCAATCCTTGACTACCTGACCTTTTTTATTTTCCTGCAAGATTACATATTTTGCTCATGTACAAATTTTACATAGTAATGTCTGGAAAGGGGGCATGAGAGAGAGTAAAACCCTAATTTACATATCTAATTGCAATATCACCCTATAGAACAATGGCCCCCAACCTTTTAGGCACCAGGGACTGTGGAGAAAGATTTTTCTGCATATTGGAGGGGGCGTGGTTTCGTGTGCTGCCTGCATCCCACAGATGGGGCTTCACTTGTTTGCATGGCATGGACCAGGGATTGGGGATCCTGCTATAGAAAACCCAATCCACATTTTATTTTATTTGTAAGTCTTTCAACTTTGCTACTAAAATATATCTTCCATAGTGAACTATTAAATCATATTTTGTGAAATTCAAATTAGAAGCAGTCACTTGCTTCTCGCAAATATAATTGGACTAATGTCTCCTTTACTTCACATCAAAAGAGCAATCTGTAAAGATTGCATACAAAGATAATTGCTTGTGACTCCTGGACTATACCCTAGATCAGTGGTTCTCAACCTGTGGGTCGGGACCCCATTTGGGGTCGATCGACCATTTCACGGGGGTCGCCAAGCAAGGCTGTCCGCCATTTTTTTGTCCACCATTTTTTTTGTCTGCCATTTTTTCCCCTTTTCCGGCGGGTGCCTTACGTCCCTTGGGCTGGGCTAGCTGGTGGTTGGCCTGCTCCGTCTCTGCCGCTTGCCAGCTATGCCTCGGCCGGTGCAGGGGGCAGAACCTCGCATGCGTGGCACTTCCGGGCAGGGAAAGTCCTCGACTTACAACCGGTTGGGTAGTCCTCGACTTACGACCGGTTTAGTCCTTGACTTACGACCGGTTTAGTCCTCGACTCACGACCGGTTTAGTCCTCGACTTACGACCGGTTGGGGTTGCGGCATTAAAAAGGTTGAGAACCACTGCCCTAGATGCCCAGAATTAATTCCCACCAACCATAGAACAGTCTGTTGCTCTGCTTAATATTTAATCTCATCTGTTGACATCCATCATTCAACACCAGGTTATGGAATTGTGAGGATATTCTCTAGATACATTTACCTATTTTGGAAGAATGAAATCTGTAAATAAAAAAAAACCCATTAGCACACAACAAAGCACACAGGATAGAGGGTATAATTTCTCTCTACTGCCATAGCTTCCTTCTGCCTATTAAATCTGTCTAAACTGGTCCATGAGGATATATAGAAAACATATCTTTTTGTCGATCCTAAATGTCTTGCCATCTAATTTCATTAGATAACCTCAGTTTCTATGACATATTGTGTTCTTGGTGCTTTCTGAGCTTGCTTTTTCTCCTGCAAACTTTTCATTGCCAAGATAGGTAATATTCAGTCCAAGAAGTCCAGGTGTATAATGAGAATGGATATGCTGGGGTCTTTTGTTCCCCTCCTTGACCTTTGGCTGAATCACTTTTTCAAAACGTGTTTTTTTTTTTTGTTTTTTTTTGGTAGATGAAGCCTATCCCAGGAGGGAGTGAGAGGATAAAAAAAATGTATCCACTTTCACCATTCCAGAGTTCATGCTTTCTCTGGCAATCTTGTTATATTTTTCTAAACTAAAAAGATCCCAATATATGTATGCCTATTTGTATAGGAGAGTTGCTCTATTCTTCTGTTTTGATTTTCCTATTTGTAGATGTTTTATTGTTTAAATTTACAGTTTAGAAACTATCTAACCTGTGGCTATGAAAACACTGCACACAGCAGTGAGTTCTGGAAATTAAACATGGGGTCGTTTTTGTTCCTGTCAGCTAGCTGATTTACTGGTTTTTATAATTCTGGCTCTTTCATACCTTCAGATGCTTTATTCTGCTATTGAAAGAAGAAAGGGAGAAAGATGCATCAAAGCCTCCTTAGAAGCTGCTGGATGTTATTTGGCTGAAGGTGAACTAACTCATGTAAGTTCAGTGATAAGGTGATTCTGAATTTCTCATAAAATAGCTAAAGTTAAGATTGCTTATATTTTGCTGTTTTATCTGGTATGTTTTTCTATGTTTTATTGTTTTACTAATTTTAAAATAGTTTTTTATTACTTTGCTATCTGCTCTGAGAAACCTTCACAGAAAATGAGTGAAGTTAAGTCACCTTAAGCAAACTGCTTTCTTAGTTTAAAAATGGAAGACTAACATCCGTAGAGGCCAGAAAGAACTCCTCATTACACAACCACTATGGCACTAATAGGTAAAGTACTAAGGATTTGGAGGAACCAAATGCACGTGTAGAAATGGACATTTAGCGTCACCACCAAATCCAAGGGTTTATGGAGGAGAGAGAGATCTCTAGTATGACCTTTCCACTTTTTTGAATGACAAAGCGACAACTGAGAAAATGGACTATCAGAACAAAAGTCGTATTGGAGAGGCGACGGAGAGCTTCTCCTTCCCCCTTGTCGCCCCCGATCCAGCCCGGTCCTGTCCTGCCGTTCCTGCGACAACAGGAGCTCGCTAAGAGGCAGCGTGAGGTCAGGAGCGACCTCCGCTTACTTACCTGCTGCTGAGCGTTGTGGTTTGTCAGGTTGGTGTTGTAATTCCAGCTGGCGGAGATGCTTTCGAAGAACACAATTTCCCCGGTAGTGTTATAAGCGTTTGCGAACAAGCGGGCCCCTTCCTCGGTCTTGTTGTGATCAGGAGGCATCAGGGAGGCATCCAAGGCGAGTGCCACACCAACGGAGATCGAAAGGAAAAAACCCGCCACCGGAGGCATCTTGGCAGGAGGCGCAGAACTGTCCCTGTGAGCACCAGATTATAAACGCCGCTCTCCCCTCAGACCCTGCCCACGGCGCCTCCCCGCGCTCAGCTTGAAGGAGATAAACTGGAAGGCTGCCTAGGCTTCGGTTGCCCTGCCCGCCTTTCAGCAGCGACTCTGAAGCTGTAACCGTCATGCCAGCGGCTGAGGCGGTGGCAAGTCACCCGCTAAAAGGACAGCCCCTTGCCTTGCCCAAGTCCCTCAATGGGAGGGGGGGTGAATAAAAAAGCAACATCTCGCACTTTCAGGGAAAAAGGAAAACCAAGAACCATGGTCAGGCGGGAAGCAGCAGAAGCGAAATGGGCAATTGGGAGGACTTCAGGGAAGAACAAAAGGCTGCAAAGTGAACCTATTGCTGTGAAGAATGTGTCTCAGCCAGCAAATGCAGCATGCCTGTATTCCTCCAACATTCCCTGACCCCTCACCTTCACCTGTGAATATACTGCCTTGCCTTCAACCCCCTTGACAGCCTCCGGTGGCTCATACTGTCCCATTGCCAATGTTGAAATAAGTAGTCAGGTATTACCATAGCCTATTGGGTGGGATACAAGGGATGGAAATTCCAGCCTGTTCTTTGTGCCAGGTGCAAAGAGTCCTGAGTTAGCCCAGTGTATGGGAAAAAGTTGCTTCTTGAAACTTGAAAGGTGTAGAGCTGGAAATTCCTACCTAATCCTCCAGGAAAAACCATTTATCTGAAAATGATTGCTTCCTGCCTGTGGTTACTTGGCCTGAAGGTAAGAGTTTTATGGGTGGAGGTTGGACAGCGAAACTCTATAGTGTCTTTTGCAGAATAAGCAGATGAGCTCTCATACACATACACACAAAAGGTGTCATCAAGTTGGTATTTTGTGTGTGTGTGTGTATGTTGTCAATATAGATGTAGCAGTGCCAAATGACAGCAACATCAGGAAGGAGAATGAGAAACTGGATAAGTACCAAGGCCTGAAGGTGGAACTGGAGAGGATGTGGAATGTAAAGGCCAAAGTGTTCCGGGTGGTGATATGAGCATTTAGTGCTGCAATTCCTGAACTGGATGAATGTCTTCAGCAGATCACAGAAACAACATCAGAGCTCTCTGTCCAAAAGAGTGCAGTGTTAGGAGCAGCTGAAATTCTGTGCAGAATCCTCAAATTCCCAGGCCTCTGGTAGAGGGCCCACTGTTGAAGAAGACACATACCATCCATATGGATGAGAACAGAATTTTTTATATGTTACTTACATCTATATCTGTTATTAAGTCGGTGTCAACTCTTAGCATTCACGTAGATGGATTTTCTCCAGGATCATCTATTCCCAGTCTGGTCCTTCAGATCTTTCAAAAGTGAACCCATTATCAATGTAACTAAATCTATCCAACTTGCTAGTATTGTCCTCTTTTTCCTGCAACTTTCCCCAAATTACGAACTTCTCAAAAACCTAGGTTTTCACAATTATGTCTCTAAAATAAGATTATCTGAGGAATCAATTATGATTCAAGTTAGAGAACTATGGTTTAATTTGTTCACTGATCCATTTGTTCATTTCCTTGGCTATCCATCGTATTTCCAGGAGTCTTTTTCTCTTTTCACATCCATAGACCATTATAGAGAAAACATTGCCTGCATGATTTTGACCAATGTAAGTATACACATCCTGGCAGCAGGATATCTTTTCCAAGGCCTTCCTTGCTATCTTTCCAAGTGCTAGTGTGCAACATATTTCTCAACTGCTGAGATCTTCAGTCTTAAGGCCAAAGGTTTCTGTTCTTTCTTCATTGTCAGTTCCAAGGCTGGTTGTCCTTAGCTTGGTCTTAATTTATTAATTTGATTTAATGTTAGTTCCAGTTTTCACTGCACTCCTTCAATTAGAGCTTCAATTCACTTGCATGTCCAGCTATCAGGGTAATGTCATCAGCATTGTGCAGGTTGTTAATGTTTCTTCTTTCATTTTTTAAATCATGCTCATCTTCTTCCAATCTATCTTCTCTCGAGCATGTAGATTAAGTAAGTAAGTAAGTAAAAGGGAAATCAATACAGCTTTTTCTCACTCCTGGCTATCCATCTGTCCAGGCTCTGGCTTATGTAAAGTTGTTCCATGAGGGTAATGAGAGGTTCTGATATCCCCCTTTTTATAAGCACATTCTACACTTGGACATAGTCAGTACAATTGAAAATCTTGTGAGTCCACTGAATGTGAGAATGTGGGCACCATTCCTCTCTCTGCCACCTGTGACCCTTAGAGTGAAAAAAGCAAAGGGGGAGAAGTTGGCCCTTGTGCCTCTGTGGACAGTAAATTATCTATGAGTGAGATAGGGAAAATTTTGTAAGAACTCATATGCACCTACACACACCGCATTAACTCATTAACTCACACTTCCAGTTAGAACTGAGAGTTACATCTCCAAGTATTAGCTACAATATGTATTTGATCTCATTTCCAAAGAAAGCAATTAGCTTGTTTAATTAAAAAAATCTTGTTAGCTTAATATATCATTTTTACACTGATTTTCTGTCTGAAATTATCAAAGCAGTTGCCAAAGTAGGTCACTAAAAATAAGCTTGATCCTTTAAAAACACTGAATAATTGGGGTTATGATTTATAAGAATTGTGGTCCTAATTCATTGTAAAAGCACCATATTGAGAAAAAAACTGGCATAGATGAATTTGTGGAGAGGTTTTACAAAACTTAGAGAATTGCATTCTCCACTCCTGATAATGTAGGTTGTCTATCAAGGCAATGAATATAATTTAGAATTAAGATATAAAAGTGACAGATTGAACTAATCTATTAAATAGTGCAATTCAGTAAGTATTATTAAATATGTGCAAGATGTACTCTGTTAAACACATTAGATAGTAATTCCGTTTCCATGATTTGTGAAGGTCTTACAAGGCTAACAAAATTACTGAATACATATATTAATCAAACCAGATTTTAAAAGAAAACAATATCTATTTTATTTTTATAGACCACATATTTGAAGAAAGCAAATTCAGAAAGCTCTAATATTATATAAATCTTTCTCTTTCAACATTATCAACAGTTTAATATCTTACTCCACATTTATAAATGTTCTTTTGAATGAATGCAATATTCACTAGGTATTACTGTTTTCTACTCTTCATTGGACCTGGAGAATTGTCAGGAAATAATTCCTCTGCCCTGGAGTGGGGAAAGCAGTTTTTCCATTTTTTTTCTAGAACCCTTGGTACAATCTAAATCAGAGGTGTTCCATCTCAGCAACTTTAAATCTTGTGAACTTTAACTCCCAGAATTCTCCAACTGGCATAACTGCCTCAGGAATTCTGGGAGTTGAAGTCCACAAGTCCTAAAGTTGCCAAGGTTGGACATCCCTGATCTAGATATGTGCAATAACTACCAGTGACAATGCATGGTCTGTAGATTATATCTGGAGATTTAATCTGACACTGAAATGCAGACTTTCTAACCATAATTTGAATAGATTTTAACTTATTTTCTGATTTTTGTACTATCTCCCCAATAAAAATTTCTAGGAAAATTGAAACATTGCATATTTGCTTGTGCCAGTTCAATTGGGCCTAAGAAAATTGTTGGCCTATCATGGATTTTAGATGCATTTATTCTGTAATTCTGGACAAATTGTGTAACATTTTTTAATGAATACAAGACATTCTCCATTCCTATATTATCCTTTAATTAAAATTTTGGCTGGGATAGATAATATAGCAAAATCATTTAGACATTCATCTTGTTTTTCCTTAATATTTTTTAAACATTTTGTTTGAACAAATAGTAAAGAAGAAACTGTATTTTTTTCTGCATTTGGAAAAAGGAAGTACTATCCAAACAGTTACCTGCCATAAGGGTTTTTTTATAAAGAGAGTTTGTAATGCTACACAGTGTTTTCCTTTTTTATAATACAGATGTTTCTACTTATTTCTTCCACTTCCTCAAGGGCTGAACTAGCCCTCTTTCCAATTCTTGAGTTTCCTCAATTTTTTTTATTATTCTTGTCTATCTGGCATAACACACCACATTTTTATTATCATTTTATATCTGGTTTCCTGATTTCCTTTTTTGTCCACATTCTAGCCACAGCAATTATCCTCCAGAATTACTGCCAATTTGTTCACTCTTTCCAATTGATTAAAAGTCGCTCCCTTGTTTACTATAGGCTACTACAAAGTAAATCTTGTAATATATTTGTTCATAGGTTAAGCCTCTGAATCTTGCCTAAATCCAGGTAATATTTAGAATAATAACAAAGAGATGAAAAACACTTTGCTGCCATCTGGTAGAAAAAAATACGGATTTTTGTAACTCAGGTCTAGCAATTCTGTCATAGCAAAGTTTCCCCTTCATAGTGTTTTAAAATTTGTTTTAAAGCATTTTATAATCACTTTAAACAAGGAGCAAATAATATGAATTAGTGAACATAACTAACAAGAGCCTTCTGGGAACAAAGGTGTGATTGATTTGCCCCAGGAACTTCCCTTTGGGGAGGGGGATATTTCATATAATTTTGTCTTTTTCATCATTTGTTGTTTATCAACTCTCCTTTAAATTTTTCTGATTTAGTCCTTTCCACCTGTTATCTTTTAAAGTTTCCCCCCATTTTTAGTATTGTACCTCAATATTCTCAATCAAAAACATAATATGACTTAAGTTAGAAAACATAAATTAGAACATGATACAATGTTCTGTCAGCATTTAGCTTGCTTAGGGAACAGCCCTATGCAGACTGGGTACGTAGCTGATGATAGGTCATTGTGAGCTCATTCCCTCATGAAAAAGATTTGTGCCTGCAAAAAATTCAGCTGTCGTTGCTCAGATAGGAACCTGCTTAGAAAGAGGGTCCCGGTGGCATTAGGACATGGCATGAACTTTTATGTTCTCTTAAACAAATTCTTAAAAGCTAAGAATTAGTTCAGAGTTGAGTGTCAACAATTTCCCTTCTACAGGTGTCAGTCACAGAAAATGAGAAAGCACATGAATC